TGTCAGCATAAGAAGTAGCACAGCACACTTCATAAACCACATCATCATCATTATCATTATCATCATCATCATCATCATCATCATCATCATCATCATCATCATCATCATCATCATCATCATCATCATCATCATCATCATCATCATCATCATCATCATCATCATCATCATCATCATCATCATCATCATCATCATCATCATCATCATCATCATCATCATCATCATCATCATCCTCCTCCTCCTCCTCCTCATCATCATCATCATCATCATCATCACCGTAGTCTTCGTTAGAATCATATCATCTCAGGAGTGTGGTGACATGATGCATGATCACTGTCAATCGCAATCCATTCACAAACTACAACGAATCAAATGTGAATTGGTGGAATTTGTGCAAGTTGGACAAGTTGGATAAACAATGGCAACGAAGATGCAAATGATGCTTCGAAGTAATATGCGAGCACATTGACGAATCGACTGGTAGACAGAAGGAAAGCATGCGTGTATGATAAATGGATTGTGAGAATGGGAACAAAGTGGATGAGGAGATCACGGTAGTTGTATATGACATATGTATATGGTTTAATCAGACCAGATGTGATTGGTATTTATTCATTGACCGGTTACTCAGTTGTTGTTTAGCATTGCTACAATCGAAATAATAATATTGATGATTGTGGCAGTGAGAGTGGAGTGAGATTTTAAGGAGTGAATAATGCCACTTAATTGGTAGTGCATGATATAAACACTGTAAGATGTTGTACTACGGTGTGTGGTGTGGGGCATTATTTTTCGTTTTCACTGCCTCCCACTTGGAATTACTCTCGAATATCTAATTTTTGTGCTGTGCCATGGTGGTATATTCGTGCAAATTTTAATTGGTTATAGTGTCTTTGGTACAATACAAGCGTCCCTGTGCTTTCTTATCTTTACTCTGACCCGTCCTTATGATCATGCTTTGTTTAGAGTTAGATCTGTTTTTATGATTATGGCTAGACTAGGAAATTCGTGGTCTGCTCTAGACACTCTCAAGGAACAAACATTGTGTTTATTCATTCACATTGATGTGTGTAGCTAACTAAGCTGCAATGCTTAACTTCAAAGCCGAGGCTTCAGTTATTCCATAGCCTGATTCATTCTAATCTAGTACCAGTCTGGAAAACTAGCAGACATTTGTCAGGAAGAATAGCATTTAGTTCTGTGTGGAAAGAAGGATCCTTAAATTTCCTTTGATCTGTTTGATTGAATCGTATGATGGTGTTAACAAAATACACATGCCACCTACTCTCGCATATAATTATCGACTTAATTCACTTTATAAAATGATGGAATTAATTAGGTCATACACGATAAAGGATTTCGAACACATGCTTCCAGACAACCGTTGATCCAGACAGACAGTCAGAGAAACGAGTCGAAGATGCGCGAGACGAGACGAAACGATACAATGACTCGACATTCATGCTCAAACGGCACTAAATTACAGACACACGATGAATAGAGTGCGCAAACAACACACGTATCATCATATTAAAAACAGTCAGGGTCAGTAAGCCAATCAGTGACAAGGTCAAAATGCAGTTTGAGAAGAATTGTCGATTTGGGCTTGACATGGTATCAGCCACTACAAATCTCCTTATAGAAAATGCGGATAATTATGAGACAAGTTTACGCTAACTATCCCCACAAGCTCAAAATAGATAATGAGTAGTGTGGCGGAGACAAGCATTTGATAAGATACTAAATGACAGACAAATATGATAACACACAAGGTAATAGAAATAGGACGTGGAAATGTGCTGAGATTCATAATTTTCTATAGACAAAAGAGTTCTCATGAGGGTTAAATTGATTTAGTGTTGTATGATGTTTTAGTTGATTAAGGTATGTTAAAAGCTAGAATGAGTCGCGTGTGTATATTACTACTACATTACAAAATGACATGGCGTGAGTAAGACGAGGCTGCCTCAAGTATGACGCACTTCCAATCAATGAACTCTTTTCGTCGCACTTTTTTAATCTTAACGAATGGCAACGGAGCGATCCCCGTCCATTGGTAATATTTAGTATCAGGATCATGTTATGAACAATGTAATAATTGTGATCGGCTTTAGAGATACTTCACTGACTCTAGAAGAATCCTCCTCGTTGACACTAACGTAGTTGAGGTAGTAGATTCAATAGATAAGGCATGCTAGAAAGCCTGTAGTGGCATTGGACCATAATCACACAATCCTCAAAGCCGAACACGAGACTACTCGGAAAATAGATATTCAATATTTAACACCGAGAAATACCTAACGATGGGGAAGGCGCGAATAAGGAATTGAATGAATTGAAGTTAATCGGATGGCATGGCTCAGCCATGCAGGCGTGGTCCCTCTGAATATTACCTTATATCTTTTATTCATATTAAATATATTGTTCTTTCTCTAGCCTACGCTTGTTCTTCATCATGTATTGGTATTTGTTACGATACAGTGAGTTGGTGTAGACGATGATGTGACTTCCACGTAAGATCTTATAGATTAGGCAGTTATATCATGTCAAATCTACAATTTTAGGATTAGGTCTATTATTAGAGCAGCACTAATATCATAGTAGACCATAATTCTACAAGCCAGCCTTCATTAAAGAGTTGCGTTAAAGACTGGTCAGACAAAATGCAGTAGACACAGCTTCCTTAGTGACAAAGAAAATGGGAACATCGATCAACATGTTCATATTTCTATGGGATTCAAAACAAGTAATTCATCAGAACACTTTCAAGATAAAATCGCTCGGGTTACTAATAAAGTTTTGAAAATGACTAACGGGGGAATAAAATCACATAGTCACATGGCTCTCAACTTTGGGGGAAATTTGTCCCATTTTGGGGAAGCCACTATAGTAGCCTTTGGAGTAATAGCACTAAAACCCCAAAATTTCCTCAGACCTGGTGAATTTCTCCAATATTTTCCCGAAATTCCCCTTTAACCTTGGTCAAGGTCATTTGGCTTTGGGAGTTTCACCCAAAACCCCAAAATTTCCCCAAACTTGGGGGATTGGTTCGATTTCTAAAACCGATTGCAATATGAAGTGGGAACTGATTTTGGAGTCCACTCGTCAAAGATGATTCAAATGGTTGTGGACGGAATAGGAAAGGCTTTCGCTTAACAGGCTTCCGTGTCTAGTATCAGGGGATCACCAAAACCTCCAGGCAGGAACCTAGGTATGTTAACAATAAAAGAGGAAAAATAAACTAGTAAATCATAGAGTGATGCTATCCTTAGTCTTTAAGAATAGATCAAGTTGCCTCTTAGGAGACACCTGGGAAGTCGCTTGGACTGGCTCGGCTGGCAGCGAATTCCAGCATTTGACAACTCTTAAGGAGTAGGAGTCGTGTCTACAGTCCGTTCTGCTATGTTGTGTCTTCAGTTTCTGGGTGTTACCCCTTAGGTAAGTGTTCGAACTAAGCTTGAGTAGGTGTTTAAGAGAATATCCAGAAGTGTTAAGAATACTATAAGCCATCAATAGATCACCTCTGAGACGCCTATACTCGAATGGGTAAAGGTCTAGTGAATGGGGACGCTCTTCATAAGGTTTAAATCCGAGTCCTCGAACTGGTTTCGTGGTCCGCTGTTGGATACGCTTTAGGGTGTCCTTATCCTTTTGGAGTGAGGGAGGAAGTACTATGTTTCCGTACTCTAAATGGGGACGGATGAAACTATTGAAGATTATATGGAAAGTTCTTCCGTCAAACTGGCCAAAAATGCGCTTCAATATTACCAGTTGCGAAACAAAGACATCCCAGGTACTGCTAACTCCTGGTCCGAGAACTGAGATGTCCAAGTTTCAGTTATTCCTATCAGATGAGCCTTGTGAGTACTGCTAATTTCACGTAGCTCGTCCATTTTGTTTGGTAGACTCGCGGCGTTCATGTATAAGCAGTTTATGCTCTCGATTTGAAACGCGTGAGCTTCTTCTCGTCTGTCTGTATGAGCCTTACGTGAATGGACAGGTAGCCTACCTATATATTGTTTGCCGAGTTGGTAGGCCCTGTCCTTTACACGTTTTTTTATCATCGAGACAGTCCGCAAGTAGAATGGTCAGCTCAAATTTGCTTTTGTGCTTGGTCCTAGCTTCATAAGGCCAATCCGGGCGCATGTGGATTCCAGCTGGCAACCGACGTCTGTTGGCACGGAAAGCCTCCAGAGTTGAAGCCGCCATGTGGGAGGATGAGAAAGCTATCTTCGTTAGCCAGGGTCTGGAATCATCGTCCTTCTTGGCTAGTCTCGTCACGTGTTGAGTCAGCCTGTTTTTGAGCCTCAAGGACTGTTTGATGAATTTCCATTCCCTGATATCGGAGTTTGCTTGATTAGGGTCCGTGTTTTCCGGTACACCTTGCACAATTATATTCCTTCTCGCGAGATTCTTTGTGGGTGTTCCGGATGAAATTGCGTTCAGAATACGGTATGTCAGGCATCATTCTTACGTTCCCATCTGATTTCAGTAAATGACTCGCTAGCAAGATATCCTCTACGTCGATAGCATTCTTTAGCGTTACGCGAAGTAGCCTAGGGTGATTTTGATGCTTAGATTCCTTTCCTCGAGTGAGCCGTGTGACTACCAAAAGCTCTATTCTTGGGAGTTCAAGTTTCATGTTCAATTCTCCCCAGAGCTTCCTATCATTTTTGTCCTGCAAACTGAGAGGGTCAGGGTTGTCTTTGAGGTTCATGATTATGAGAGAGTCGTCGCGAACCGTTATTGTCGTCCCAGGTTTTCCGGCGCGTTCAGATTTAGCACGTAGTTGTTTGGAGGTTGGAGCACGTTTATGAATCTCAGGCTCTTTGATGACCGGACGGACATTCTTGGGGGTATATTGTGCGACCAGATCACCAGCTGATTTCCGTACAACAGCTGGCATGTTCGACTAAGACTATGACACCTGGTTTTATTAAGTACTGAAACAGGTAAGTTGTTTCCTGTCTTTGAGTCAACATGTTTAATGGCCGTTTTTGTTATACGTCTCTAAGCAGAAAGTCGGTTCAAGGTCGTCACAATCAGGCGGTAAGTTAAATCAAGGCGGTTTCGGGGACGGTTCTTTTCTTGTCTTGATTGTTATTGAAAACTTGCTTTAACCTCAATATTCTTTCATTTTTCTGCTGTTATTAGTTGCTTTGATTGTAATTGATCGACTAACATATTTATTTGTCGCCCAATGTCATGATGTTGAGAAATTTCGGCACAAAACCCTCAAAATTTCACAAACGTTGGGGACTTTCCCGAAATTTCTCATAAATTGGGAGCTCGGGTATAATTTATGGACCAAGTAATCTTATATAAGATAACGAGTCACGAATTCGGGCGCAAAATTCATCCATGCATTTGGCTAAATAGAGTTCTGGCATTATAACCGATGTCAGTTCGTGATGAAAACCGTAAATCTAATTTTTAACTCCAACTACCAACTGTAAATGATATGTGCAGCTGCTTTATAACCCTTATTTAGTCTTAATTAGTAGTTTCCTCTCAGGGTCACTTCAGCGTCGCTCAAAGGTCGTCCATAAATTATAGTCTAACCACAAAATCTACAATAAGTAGTGGGGATGACAAACATTTACCTCCATACAGTACTATATGGAAATTCACAGGAAAGCTTTTAAAATGGTGGATGGATAATCCAAAATGATCTAAATTTCAGTAGATTGAGCATTCAATAGTTGTGTCGATTCTAAAATGTTCATGCTAGTAGAAATAGTAATATACGAAATTTTATAGGAATATATCAAAATAATTAAAATAACCCATGGTGTCATTGAATAAAAAAGGATAATTCAGTGAAGAAAATCTTTTCAACGTAATCACTTACTTAAGCTGTATATATGGTTGTATATGGAAAATGTATGTCTATAGGAGGATAGAAAGAATTGCATCACCAAAATGGATTCGAGGATAAATAACAAATGAGGTTACGTACTAATCGAGGGGTTAGATAATGGTTCAGTTGACAAATATGAAGAAAAGCGACAAACACAAAGGTCATAATAATAGATTGAATAATAATCAAGAAAACTTGTATGAGGTAATAATAATAGTAACTGATTAGAGTTTAAAATGCAAAATAGTAATTTTAAAAACTCGATAATAATCAAATAGAAGTGCAGAAAGACAAAAACAGAAACATACCCATTAAAGGAATTAGGGCCAAGGAAGGATGAGAGGTTGGATATATCGTTTCTGCACGCAAAGTTTGGGCTTGAGTTCGTGAATTGCCAGTGCCCCAGCGGTGCATAGAATATTGATTCGATACCCCTTCGATCCAATTCTTTTGACTCTGTAAATCACTTTAAAAGAATACTTGGGAGAGGTGTGTCCATAATTGATTAGATGCTTCTGTATAGAACTAATTATTGTCTTACATTCTCCTTTTTAACAAGCCAAGCCGGATAGTGTTCTGAGATGCGTTTGGAAAGTGACCGCTTTGTTCGGTCTATATATCGAAATGAATAAATGTGACAGTCGCATGTACCAAAGTAGTATTACTATCTAACGTACCTAGTGTTTCTGCTGTGCATATAAATTCGGGTAATATATCTTAGACCTAACACATTTGACTGGTGACCCTGTATCTGAATTAAGTAGTCTTAAATCACTATTACCTGTGGTTCATATGTTTTTCACCTAAATTTAGATCACAAACAAATTTTCAGTGGGAAGCTTGTAAATACATTTAAATAAGCTCGTTCATTGTAATTTACATAGCTGAGTTCCCAACTTTTTAAAGTCAGTTTTTTTATATCCATTACTTTTGCTGTCTCTAATCGTTCTGCACTTTTATTCGCAGACTATACTATTGTCAGTACAGCTCTAGTTGTCGACCAAACATCTCAACTAGCGTTTGGAGATTATTTACAATAATGCACCTCAAACGAAGTATGTTACTTTTAGATGCCCTTACAGTGGTTTAACTTTCTGATAACTGGCAGGAATTGATTTCTAAATTATCATATACGTATTATTTCGTTATTTCCAAACTTTGTAAGGATGACAAACAAACATATATAAATCGAAACATTATTTTGGCCGTTTGATGTGAGTAGACATTCTACTCGAAGTTGCAGTTAGCAATGAAGTTACAAGTAACTATTGATACGGAGCTGTAATTCAGGTTATGAGCAGCTTTTTACAGAAGTGATGGTTAACTACACTATTAACCGAGTATTTCCAATAGTCGCAGGAAGATAGGGTTAGTGGTTCGTAAGCTGTAGCTAGTTGCAAGGTGATTAAGATATTTTTAAGGACAACATAATTACACCACCAATGCTTACATCGTTTAACCGTGCTTCCAAAATTCGATCCGCAAGAAATTTGAAAAGGAATGGCGGTGTACAACGTTTCGTGACTACACTACTGGTTCTCAACAGTGGCTACATTTTTCATCATACGTAATGCTTTTTTAAGGACGTTAATAGACATTGTAAGAAAATTCCCCCAAACTTTATAGTTTTAGGATATGATCTTGTTGGATTATGTGTAGTCACTCTTGATTCTGGGAAATATAATTATCAGTCTATAATTTTTCGATTTTCAAGCATATTGCACAGAGTAAATAGGTAATCGCCACATCCATGATTTAAAAAACCTAACCGACTCATTCATAGTCAATTTCTCATGTATTCAGATTAATCAATACTATATGAAGGAGACCCCCTAGTTTTAACACAACAGCAGACTTGAAATCCAATTATCCTCACACAAATCACATGGTTCATCTTTAAAAGTGTATAGCACAAAGGTCCATCATCTCATTTTGACGAACCTTCCTGAAAAACTTTATTCATTCATAAAGCCATTTATGCAGCCTAAAGTCTTTTACTCAGACTTCCAGGAAAATTTAGGGGCCGTCGATACCCTTATTATCAATCTTACCAAGACCAAGTATCTTAATTATTGTGTCTTGCGTAATATAAATCGGCTATAGTCAGTTCCTAGACGTAACTGCTGCTTTCATCTTGGTTGTGTTTTGCTCATCAACTTTGTGGATTACTTTATATGGTTGGTTAGATCTTTTGCGTAGAAAATCATACACGTTTTTGCCGAACTGGGTTGCCTTGTAATAAACTCAATAGGACCTACTGTTCACAAGTGAAACAGTTCTCAAATCTTAGTTTCGTAAAGCCAAAACCACTAAAAGTGAGTGGGTCCGTTGTATTTCAAGCGCCGTTTAATCATAACACCAGGTTCTGAGACAATATTGAGGGTACAAACAAATAAGATTACTGAGATCCAGCCAACAGTTAGTAATCATATGCTTAATTCATATTTTTGTTTTCTCGATACTCCCGTTAAATGATATGGAACCCCAAAAATAGACTTACATTTCCGGTGAGCTAAGTTTAGTCAACGTAGGTTACTTGTTGGTTCTGCTGTTAACCAACAGTACTGTAAAAACATTCCTAAAACTCTTTCAAGTCGTCCAGTTTCTATGAAAACGACCTCCGTTTAGGTGATGAAGTTCCGGTTGTCAACCACACATCAGAAGTGCTGCAGATATACAGATAAATAGAATGCCCAAAAATACACTATTCCACTTTGTATTACCAAAATAGATACTGACAAAAATAACTTTTTAACTACATTCATATCCTCTTTTTTAACAGATGACCCTAAACCACTGATTGATCCTGATCGCCTAACTCTCATTGGATTCAGATTTTGCCCTTATGTTGATCGTGTCAGACTAATATTGAGTTACTACAAGATTGAGTAAGTTTAATATCCATATAAGACATTTGTTTCTCTTTGATTATAGTAAAATCTATTCGACACTTAAAATTCACCTCATAGTAAACGACATTGCTTTCTATCACACCATTGGCCCATAATTTAACGTCAACAGTCAACACTACGCAGTTGGAGGTACGTCTGTGTAGCTAATACATTGACTTAGTTGAGATGACTTAAAAGCTGTCAAGCTATTTTTAAATGAAGATATTATTGGTTATGTTAGTCTAACGTTCTCCTTTGCCTACCATATCAAGGTAATCAACGGTCGGCCAGTCAGTTATAAGCAACGTAGAAGCTAGCACATACGTGCATCCATCCAAGTTGTCACACCACACCAAAATAACCAAATAAATTTACTAAGACAAACACCAGAGTAGTAGAAACAGTATCAGTGGTAATGCAAAACATTGAACATAGAGAATATGATTTGAGGAGAGAGAGTGAATTCATAGAATAAAGACTATAAGATGCTTTCAAAGCTCAAGATCTAAGGCAAGACGAAGAGTGAACTCATCTGTACCACAATTGTAACTGATTCTGAGACATTTCATTCAACATCAACGATTGGTTATGATAATCGTGTTGACCACGCACAGACAGTCTGCACCCACCAATACATCTCAGTCGAACAGTAAGGGACTTCATGGAATGATACATTGTCTTGGTTCGGGCATATCTAGCTTTCTCACAATCTACTCCTACACTAGCAATCATTGCTCATTGAGTGTGGTGGTGGTTTTGATGGTTGGAGATACGTAGTACATATCTCAACCATCTCAGTTGATGAAGATTTACCATCTCTTTAGTAGATTAACCACTTTTGCTTATTATCGTGCTTCTTATTTCAGCTTTGTCCACTTGATGATCCCAACATAGGGGAGTAATGATTTGATGGTACACATGAACAAATAAACTTGTCTTCCATTATGTACTATTTAAATTTGTGTTAATTCTGTTTCGGTTATTTATTTACTCTGAAGAAGCAAATTAGATTAGTTCACGAAACGTCAGAGATACAAATTTTTATTGATTGGAACATCGCAAAAAATATATTTATTATACTTAGTACTATTTTAACGACACATTTTGTGCTACCACGTCAGTTCAGTTCGAATAATTAATAACTAACCATGATCACACCGAAACTATGGTTTCAACAAGGCTACATTTTGGTCATTGAATTGTATACGATAGAAAGAATGTAATAACCGATAGTTGTACAGTTATCATTCATTACGGCTTGTTTAGTACTAGCAGTAGTCGCTCGTTAAAAAAAAGTTTTCGTTTGGTAACTTATTTTAAATGAACAATTGTTAACTAAGGACAATTACGAAAAGCAATCATTACTATCCTGTAGTCAGACTAGTAATACAAAATTCCCTCTTATTTTACTCAACACCTTTAAGTTCTCTGTTAATCCCTTAGTTATCCAAACCAGATACCCTTATTGCTTAGTATTTTTCGGGCACTTTGCTTCACTCGACTAGTCTGTCAAATCAGAACACAGCTTGAACAGGTACGTAATTATGTTCCAAATAAATCAAGTTAAATTAAAGTGAGTCACAGTAAGATAAAGGTTAGTATATTTATAATTTTACACAAGTAGATTCGTGAGTCTACTCCGATTATCGTCCAGCTCTAGTTGACTGATAATCACCCAATCAGTTTGTTTCAACATCATCCTTCATGTTAACAATAACATAGTGTGTAAGCATTTAATGTAGATGTGATAAGTAAATAAATACATTCACTAGAATTCAAGTCACGTTTATTTTATTGTAAATACACATTAACGATAAGGCCTGTATTCTAAAACTCTACTTAATTTATGATGAAACTTTTTCGTTTAGAAAATAGTAGGTTAATTACATGACAGATTTACAGAGTTAAATGTATATGAAACATAAATATATCGACCAATAACGAAGCCTTCAAATGCCTTGATACAACCGAGAGTGGGGAGAGTTAGCTCTCCCTCTCGAAATACTCTCACATGGCCACGTGCATACAACCACTGATAGGGAAGTCCTTCTCGTGGCGGGGGTGTTGTTTATGGAATTGAGACGACGGAAAGAGAATGTCCGGCAATTTACCCGGGTTGGTGAACACGGAAAGTCTACTTAGGGCATTTGAAAAACCATGATTCCAAACCAAACGGAGTATGAATCTATTGTTGGTCACCGAATACCATGAAACTGCATCTCCTGACGTTGCTCCACTGCCTTGTGGGTCATACCTTTAGGTCAAGGGCTCGGGGTGTGGCCCTCTAATAAAACCACATGCCTCGGTTTGGGCACCTGGGCAGTATCCCAGCCCACACACAAATCGAATGATTTATGTAGCGTACATATATTTGTTGCCTCCTTGTACCAATTTTTATGTACTTAAACAAATAAAAAGTGATGGCGGCAAGTTTATTTATTTTAGACAGTATCTTCTAAAGCATTATCAGTGCTATAGTAAATAAAATAGTTTACAACTTTCAGTCAAAATGTCCATTTTCAAATAAATGCTTTCGGATAAAATAATCATCTTGTAATTAGATACTTACTTATTATAATGGAGTCATTTTAGGTGTTCAACTTCCAACTTATCGGCTATATGCTTTGCATGCAGAATTTCTAGTTCCAAGATTACGCCATTAGCCATCAAATAGTAGTTTATTTGTCGTTTATTCATTTAAACACATAAACATTGGTACAATGAGGCACCAAAGATATATACACCACACAAATCATTCGATTTGTATGAAGGCTGGGTTATTGCCCGGACGCCCAAACTGAAGCAGATAGTTTTCTCAGGTCACTCCCCGAGCTTTTGACCTAGAGATCTAGTCCACATGGTAGTGGAGCAACGTCAGGAGATGCAGTCCCATGGTCGCCGGTGACTAACAATAGGTTCATACTCCATTTGTTCCCAATGGATCCTGAAGCCCATGTGCACCATTGGTTTGGAATCAGGGTTCTCCAACTGCCCTAAGTGGATCCTCAATATCCACCATCCCGGTTAAAGCACTGGACATTCACTTTACGTCGTTTCAATACCGTAAACAACACTCCTGCCACAAGAAGGCAATGAGTAAGACTTCACTGTCAGTGGTTGTATGTACGTAGTCATATGAGAGCATTTGAAGGTAAAGTTCGAGCCCATTCAGGATCATAATACAATAACAAGATGTTTGTTATTTTGATCATGATAATTTGTAATGTTCATTTATATTTGTAAATTAATCAGTATGACATAAACTAGATAAATTAATTATGTCATTGAGTGTAAATATATAATCATATTAGTTTACATTATATAATTAATGCATTACTATTGACCTTAATTTATGATAAATAGTGAATGGTAATGAATTATGTTAAAAATAATTTATCGAAATTGTTATGGTTATCATACAGTTTACAGATTCTATTTCATATATCTATAGAACAACTTCAATGAATTTGAAATGATAAATAAGTTATTTTCTGTCCAGAATAGTGTACAATCTATTAGATATTAGGAATAATATACAAATCTATAGTTGTTCATGAATATTCTTTGTTTTTCTATAAGATATTAATATGAATTTTGACTTAGTTTCTAACTATTGTACTACATTTCATATTAATCCAACTTAGTAGTATTTCCTTCCATTTTATCGACTTAGAATACGCAGATGAGATAGTCCTGTTTGGTGAAGATGCTGATTAAATGCAGAGTGTTTTGGTAGCACTGAACAACAATGCCAGAATGTTTGGGATGCGCTTTTTATACCTCTAAATGCAAATTGTTGCTTCAGGACTGACCTGCGTCAACACTTAAACTATGATGATAGGGAGTGAAATAGTCGAACGCGTTGACAACTCCACTTATCTTGGAAGTTTGATCAGCCCAAATGGGTTGGTGTCTGACGAAATCTCAGCACGAATTCGAAAAGCTCGTTTGCCTTTTGCTCACTTACATCACCTATGGCAAAGGAGAGATATCTGTTTATCAATCAGGGGACGAGTATACCACGCGGCAGTTCGTTCTGTTCTACTTTGCAGCTGCGAAACGTGGCCATTGAGAGAAGATACTCGTAACCTACTAGTATTTGACCACAGGTGCCTTAGAAATATTGCTGGGATCACTGGGTAGGTAATAGGGAGGTTAGACAGATACAGAGTATTAGGGAATGATGGTAAATCAGTTGATGAGTTTGTCAATCTTCGTCGACTGAGATGGTTGGGCCACGCGTTACGTATATCTGGACACCGATTACCACGGTGTGAAATGCTGACTAGTGTTGGGGATGGTTGGAAGACATTTAGGGGCGGCCAAACCAAAATGTGGCATCAGTGCTTAAAGTCACCAACTTCTAGTCTGAGCTATGTTGGTAGATGCAGACCACTTGGTTGGGGTCCGCGTGACTATCGTAACCAATGGTTGGAGACTATGTGTAACGTGGCTCAGAATCGATCACAATGGCGTTGGTGTATACACTCTCTGTCTTCCCTTAAACTATGAGATTAAAATTGCTTCATATCATTCTTTTTACGAACTCATTCTTCATTCCTGTACTATATCCTTATATGTAATCTTTCTTTTATATATTACCACTATTGAATTAAGCACTTCTATGATTTCGGTGTTAATCTTATTGTGCTAACGAGGTGTGATCACTTGGAACGATGTATATATATGCCTGGTCCTACGTTGTAGCTGACTGACCCCTTGTATCACTAACAACATAAACCAATGAAATCAATCTGCATTTCCTGTGTATACATACATTAACTTTCCAGGTATACTTCAAGTAATAGGGTTATTAGTTCAGGTCAAATTCAGGACATGTGAAGCATAATCACGTAAACCGGCAACATACAGATTTGATCAATATGTATGATTAGCGTTTTCTAGTATCACAAACATTTCTGCTCAGAAATGCTATTCTAAACGAGATTTTCAAAAAAAAAATACTTCAGATATTGTGTTTATTCATTGCGATGGACATTTCTTAAGGCTTCTTTTCTTCCTCGACTTTAATTTCACACTCTGGATTTCTTTTAACGATATTCTCATCAATACATAAGCATTTCATAATTTCATGTTCAAGTGGGTTTCGATTGGTCTGGAATTGTATAGCAATGAAAAGTGTGTTCAGTTTTCTCACTTTTATTCAGCATTCTTACGGATATGTTTTTAGATTAAAAACTTCGTTTAATACTTTAAGGAATAATCTACTGTTTGGAGTTTTGTTCTAAATATGTGCCGACGTTAGATTCTTCTTGGATGAATATGCTAATTAAAAAATGAAGTAGCTGTTTTAGGTTGTGAAACGTTGTTAAAGTACGTGTTTTCTTTACGAGTACTTAATTATAGATATGTTCAAAGAATTTACAACATTGTCATAAACTGAGTAGTTAGTTGAAATATCCTAACCAACTATGGCTTAGTAGTTAAAATACGTATTCTTCGCTACTAGTTTGTGACTCCTTACCCTACTTTGCTTACGTTTATTTGGGCAGTTGAATAGTAACACTTGTGCCCACATAAATAATGTGACTGTAAACCTAATAAATAGATGTGTACTTGGTAAATGAGTTAGGTTACCATAATGAAGATTAGTTAAAATTATGGAAATCTGTTGACTTTTTATCCTCAAATTTTGAAGTATATTTCACCTTTTCGAAAGACTATTCTCAGTGCTTAGCTATGAAAATTGATAAGGAATATGTTCTTCAGATGATACCTCTTAGTAATTGGTAACTGGGATGGTTGTGACGAGGTACTGAGGGACATTTGCTTCCTTTAAAGCTGGTTGTGTGCTTTAATGATGTTCAGTCGATAGGAAACCTTACTTAACCTAGGTTTTGTGCTAATCGATACTCGTCAGAAACGTGTATCTATAATCATGGCGGGGGATTAATGCTTTCTGGCGAATTCTTCAATCTCGTGTCACCCAGCTTCATAGTTTGTTATTGTTATATCCGTGTCGCTTATTACTTATACTTCAAGAGGAGAGCGAGAAACCTCTGCAATTTCAAAGATATGAAGTAAGAACATCAAACCTGTTACAAGTGAAGATTTATTAACCCTAAAACACGACAGCCCGAGATGAAAATACACTCATTTATATTGTATTGAATCTAAACCCATTTTAATTATTAGTTAGAATTAAGTCACACAAATGAAAAATACCCAGTTATAACAAAATCACATGTTACATGTCATGCTGAGTATAGTTTATGTGAATTTAATACAAGAATATCGTATGTTATACAGACTAAAACATCACACTGGGAAACAAAACAAGTACTACACTAAGTAATTATCACATTGAATAAAAAAAACGGGAGTAATGTTGAATATGAATTGCAATGAGCCAAATTTGATTTTGCCGTTTTATCCTGTCTTTTCACCTCTCCTTTTCTTTGTAATCGAATACGTAGGAATAAGTTTTTCCATGGATTATCCATTCGAAAGATTGTTGTTCTTCTTCATACCCGATAGGATCTTCTCGGCTAGTCCAGCTTTCAGTTGGGCTTTTTTCAGTTTTATGCTAACTTTGCTCTGCTCTTTTGTTCAATGCATATATGGTTTTCCCTCCCCTCACGAGAAAATGTTCGATCTTCATATACCCACGTCACAAATAATGTGACTTTATTGATCTGAACTGTCTCAACATTACTCACACCTTCAATATATGTGTCAAGACAGTTCTACTGTATGGGACGGAAACCTGGAGAACTACGAAAGCCATCATTCAGAAGATACAAGTGTTTATTAACAGTTGTCTACGCAAAATACTTCGGCTCCGTTGGTCAAACACTATTAGCAACGACCAACTGTGGGAAAGAACAAACCAGATCCCAGCGGAGGAAAAAACGCTGGAAGTGGATAGGACACACATTGAGGAAAGCACCCAACTGCGTCACAAGGCAAGCCCTCACATGGAATCCTCAAGGTCAAAGGAGGCTAGGAAGACCAAAGGACACATTACGCCGAGAAATGGAAATAGACATGAGAAGAATAAACAAGAATTGGATGGAATTAGAAAAGAAGGCCCAGGACAGAGTGGGTTGGAGAATGCTGGTCGGTGGCCTATGCTCCATTGGGAGTAACAGGCGTAAGTAAGTATGTAGTGATTGGGACATGTGGGTATACATAAAGGTTGAATTAGTCTTTTGTATGATCTTGACCTGTATGGATAATATGATACATGGTGGTCTTTCCACCTTTCATATGAAAAAAAAACGATGCCATTTTTCCAGACACAATACGAATAAGCACATTTTACATTTTAATTTGTCAGTAATAAAGTATATGACGTATGTAGGCTCGCTTTGTTGCTAAAACATTTAAGTGGAACGGTTTATGTGCTTCATACATATTAAGATCAGTAGGTTGCTGCATTCTACATACAGGTATATTGTGCAATTGGAATGATTTTAATTTACTAAAACAAAGTTGACTTTTTTATGTTTGACATTCACTTTGTCCGAATAAGCAAGATAATAAATATCATCAGATTCGTTGGGTATCTGTTGATAACTATAACAAATATTGAAATTTAATGATTGTTCATCATACAATGTTCCAGAAACACTGGGTGCTTTGCTCAAAATGACCATATTTAACATTTTTGATGAGATCAAAACGGCATACTTTTTTTTTCTTCATTTGACATCATCTTCCTGAGCCAAGCTCTAGTTCAACTACTTTCATCTTAAAGAAATCTTTATTTTTACCACTGCAAGCATTGAGCCTTACTCGTAATTTCAAACTTGTAGACTAAGTTTAAATTTTTCGACTGCGTGAACGACATTACTCCTAGGGATTCTAAGTGACATATGAAGTGTGCGCGCACTCAATATCCGTTACAAAAACATCCGGAATGTCCTGGTACGGCCAAGAGTGGGGGCAGTCAGCTCTCCCACTCGAAATGCTCTTACATGGCCGCACATATACAACCACTGCTAGGGAAGTCATACTCGCTGCCTTCTTGTGGCGTTATTGTTGTTTACGAAATTGAGAGGACGGAAAGCGAATGTCCGGCGCTTCAACCGGATTGGTGAATATTGAGGATTCACCTAGGGCAGTTGGAAAACCCTGATTCCAAACCATTGATGCACATGGACTCCAGGATCCTTAGGGAACAAATGGAGTATGAACCTATTGTTAGTCACTGGCGACCCTGGGACTGGGTCTCCTGACGTTGCTTCACTGCCTTGTGGGTCAGACCTTCAGGTCAAAGGCTCGGAGTTTGGCCCCCTAAGAAAACCAAGTTGTTCGGTTTGGGCACCCGAACAGTATCCCAGCATTTACTAGATTATTTTGAATCTGTTTTTAAGTTGATAGAGTTACAAGAATGATCATAAATTATACAGAAATCCAATGTTGTGCTTAAGTAAAGTCAGTATAATTATAATAGACATCAGAAAGTTTTGTGATTTGTGATAGTTAATTAGTGGTTTACTTAGTGTTGTTTTTTTTACTTGTATCTTCCCATTGTTATTCAGGACTGTGATTGATCAGCCTCATGTTGGCATATGTACATCCTGTGCGAATCGCCTCGATATAACCTTAATTCACAAGCATTATAAGCAAAGATGGATAGTGACTAGCAGTGGAATCCAGGACGTTAATTTCGTCTTATTTGGGACTCGTCAACTGGATTTACCTGCATCCCAGAGTTGATGTTCACTCCGGGAATCGAACCCAGTATCGTTTGCTTCAAATGCCATCGTGTTATCCACTGAGCTACTGAGTACTGATAGTCACCTGTTTGTGCAATGGAATGAAGTTAAATTCACCTGTTGTTGTTTTTACTTGTAACTTCCCTGACGAGTCATAAATAGGACGAAACGCGCGTCTTGGATTCCACTGCTAGCCACTATCCATCTTTCTTTAGTTAATGGTTATTTCAAAAACTATACTTTTAACTGTATTGTCTTATAATGTCAATTCCTTGGAGGAAGTGGAGCAGAATTAATATTATGATAGACAAGGTTTCAATTCATTAAAGGGTAAGTAACCTACTTAGATTGATTCCCTCAAATCATCTATCCTGTTTAGTTTGTGTTAATGTTTTGCACGTGAGCATATTATTCTATTGTATAGAAAATCCTCTATTTTGTTTGTCAGCTGCCTTATCCCATGATATCAGTTGACCTGGAGACTTAAGTCAAAAAACTTTAGTTATGTATCATTACATATTATCAATCACCTGATCTTATCATTTGACTTCATTAGTCCAACAATATCTAAATATCCTTTAACAATCTTAATCCATAACATAAACTTGTTTGTCATTGTTTTATTTCATTTTAATGAATATGATGTTGTTACTCTCTCTCTCTCTCTTTCCCATCTCAACACAGTTATGATCTTATCAATGTTTCATTGGCTTCAAAACCTGAATGGTTTTTAGAAATGTATCCAATTGGCAAAGTTCCATTATTATTATTACCAAATGAACAAAAATTACCAGAATCCGATGAGATTATACGTCATATAGATAAATTATATGGTTCTGAAACTTTATTATCCCATTGTGGTATTGAAGAATTTGAAAAAGCTAAAGAACTTATTACTGGTGTAAGTGTTAAATAGTTTTATCATTTAATGAATATTGACATAGAAGAAGTATCAGTAGTTGTATTTTCTTTTATTATCTACCTTTAAAATGGGAATAATCGATTTATAATTATAGTCATTATATTCTTTGTTTATTGTACAACAGTAGGTTATTATATGATGTAATAAAATGAAGAATGGCACGGCTGAGAGTGAGGAGAGTCAGCTCTCTTTCTCTCGAAATGCTCTTACATGGCCACGTGCATACAACCACTGCCAGGGAAGTTCTACTCATTGCCTTCTCACAGCGGGGGTGTTGTTTACGAAATTGAAAAGAGGAAAAGCGAAGGTCCGGAGCTTTAACCGGGTTGGTGAATACGGAGCATCCATCTAGGGGAGTTGGAAAACCTTGATTCCAAACCAATTGTGCATGTGGTCTTCAGGATCCTAAGGTAACATATGGCGTATGAACCTATTGTTGGTCACCGGCTACTATGGGGCTGTATCTCCTAACATTGCTCCACTGTCTTGTGGATTAGACCTTTAAGTCGAAGGTTCCGAGTGTAACCCTCTAAGAAAACCATGTGATTCGGTTTCAGCGCCCAGGTAGTATCACAGCCCACACAAAAATCGAATGATTTGTGTTGCGCACATCTATTTGGTGCCTTCTTGTACCAATGTTTTCGTGTTTAAATAATAACAATAATAATGGTAACGATTTAAACTATCTTATGGACTATTATATATATTCTTATTGTAGAATTACTAGATAACTGAACTAATATTTTTTCTATATTCCGTTTATTATAGGCTTCCACTTGACCCACTAACTATGACTGTACGTTTTATTATTATTGCTAAACAACTAACTACACCTTGCCCGATTCACTGTCATAGTTAACCTGTTTGTGTATAACTATAATTTTCTATTTAATAGTGTGATGTAGTCCGGTATGTTTGTATATAAACTCATATATACTTGAAATATGAATAATGGAAGCTTGGTTGCTACTTCCCCTAATTTTTGTGTGTGAGGCCATTAATTGACGGTCCGATAGTCTATTGAAATATGCCTTTGATCAAGTTTTATGGCACTAGGTTATAGACGGAATAGCGTGCTTTATGTAGGGGAAGCTACAATCGGGATTGTAATTGACCAATTTAGTACACTGTACCGATCGATGTCTTAGACACAACACCATGTAAATGATGTTCAATATTTAACAATGATTTCTCTTTATCAGATGCGTAGCTAGAAATTGGGCATCAATTTATTATTTGTTTACTTAAATACACAAATATCGGCACATAGCGACACCAGAATATATATACGCGGTAGGAAATTTGTGTGTGTGCGTGTGTGTGGTGGAATACTTGTCATGTGCTAAAACTGAACCAGGTGATCTTAAAGGGTCACTACTCAAGCCTTTTGGATAGAGGTCTAATCCACAAGGCAGTGGAGCGACGACAGGAGATGCAGTCCCATGGTAGCCGGTGACCAACAATAGGTTCATACGCCATATGTTACCTTAGGATCCTGGAACCCATGTGTACCATTTGTTTGAAATGAGGTTTTTCCAATTCCCCCAAATGGATGCTCCGTATTCACCAACCCGGTTCGTGGACTGGGTGTCCACTTTTCGTCCTCGGAATTTCGCAAACGACATCTCTGTCACGAGAAAGCAGTGTGTAGGACTTCCCTGATAGTGGTATGTATCACATAAATTGATAATGATTGTTGTTATCATTCGTTAAAACACTAAGAATTCTGTTTATCCTCATAACTTCTATAGTATTTTTTTATGTCTTTAATAGTGTTGATGTATTAATGTAAGCTTGTATCATGAGACTTAAATATTCTTACCTATACCTGTGCAAATTTACCTAATGCCTGACGACAGATTCTCTTAAAACATCTTTTTGAGTCAAACACAGTACTTATTTAGTAAAAAAAATACCATCAATGACCTAGTTAATATATATTGTTAATACAATCAATGATAATGATGGTTGGTTATTTCATTCATGAACGATTACGACAATACAACATTGTAATTTACGTCAAAAAATCAGTGTCATCATCAGTTCTAAGATGGATGTCTCCTCTGTGTTCTATCCATCAATCTATCTTTTTGTAATTGGTATTATATAATTTATAGCATTCATATTCCAATGTTTAGAATTTCATTTTGTTACATGGCTCAGAATCGATCACAATGGTGTAGGTGTATACACTCTCTGTCTTCCCTTAAACTACGAGATTAAAATCGCTTCATATATTTCTTTCTACGAACTAATTATTTCTTCCTGTACTATATCCTTATATGTAATCTTTCTTTTATATATTACCACCATTGAATTAAGCACTTCTATGAATCTGATGTTCATCTTGTTGTGCTAATGAGGCATGGCAACTTGGACCGACGTACACTTGTGCCTGTTTCTACGTTGTAGCTGACTGACTGAATTACTTTACTGCATTTATTGTTTTGGTTTTGTGTTGGTAACATCATCAATCGATATAAAATGTAAAATCATTGTACAGTTTATTATAACCATTCAAATGAATTCTTCATTTATATTGGACCGAGGTATTAGGTTCATTTAAGGTAGAAAAAAATATCTTCAACACTTTCCTAAAACCACTATGTAATCGTTAATATGTCTCAATCCTATGAGAGGTCAATCATGGTCATTTTACCTCAGTGTTAATATCTTTGACTTTGAAGCTAGATGACATGTGATAGAATTTGCCATAGACTGTCAGTTCCCTCAGTATTACTGGTGGTGCTGAATAGCACGAAACCTCGGTTGAGCAGTGTATCCTGTCGACTACATCTAACCATCATTTTACAATCGATTTTAAAAGAAATGATTTTTTTGAAAACCATTTACTGATCAACCGGATCCAGTACAATTTAGTGAAAAACAATGTTAGTAGTACCATTTGATTTCTAAACATAATTTCTTTTAATAACTCTACTATATTTTCAGAATATATTTGATCTACTGATGTAAGGATATGATAAAATCCAGTGTATTTAACAAGAATGGAATACAAGTTTATCAATAACAAGAGTTCTAAAGATTATATTCATGCGTAAAATTATCGGCAACAAGAGAATATTAATAGATGTGGGTTTTGTAGATATTTTAGTAGTTTTATGGTTGAATTCATGAGTTAATTAAAGCTAAGCTACCATGGCGAACCTGAGAACACTGGACGGCTGTTTCGTTCTAGTATGGGACTCCTTAGCAGTGCGCATCCACGATCCTGCCTCGCGAGATTCGAACCCCAAACCTATAAGTCTCGCGCGGAAGCACTTAACCTTTAAACCACTGAGCCGGCATTCGACAGTGACAATGTCTAACTTCATTCAATCCACGAAGTTGAGACACCGTCAACAATTGTTTTCAGTGAGTTACTATCTCACAACAGACCCAGTTGAACTCCACTAGTCACTGCTTCTCACTAGAAATCCAGGAAATACCTCTTGAAGACCGTCACTAATGAGCATATGATGAGTATTATCAGAGGGGGGTTTCGTGGAGATTTTGGTTATAGTTGAATTCATAATCCAATTGAAGCGCACTGCTGAGGAGTCCCATACTAGAACAAAACAGTGCTTCCATGTTTTCCGTGGTGGTCTAGCTTCAATTGACTCATGAATTCAACTATAAAAAGGGGATAGTTTAGATTGATTTTGATGAATAGAGGTGACATTACCTTCACATGCATAATGGTACTTGTTTGTGCGTAACACAAACATTTGTCTACGTAGAAATTTAAGGCTTATAGAACCATAACGAGGGTGAATGATATTGACGTTTGTAACAAAGGTACCTATAGATAACTATTCCGTCGAGAATATCAACAGAGATCATTCCAACAGTTATTAATATTAGTCTAAATATTGTACCCGTTACACAAGTGAGTGGCTATGTGGAGTCGTCAATTTAATGGGTAATGCGTTCGTTGTTTCAAACGAAAGGTGTTGATTTCGAACTCCAATCTGAACATCAACATTGGAGTACAGGTACAGTTAGCTAAAGAGTCTCAGCTAGAATGAAATGTGCGTCCTGGATTCCATTGCTAGCCACCATTCACCCCTGCTACGAGTGAAATGTATCAAATTCATTGTCAATGACAGAGGTGCATTCACTGTTAGTCTTTTCTTAGATCTTAAGCTTCAAAATTCCTCACAACCTTTTTTTATTAATTCACCAAGTTATATTTTCTTCTTGAATTGTATCTTGGATGTATAATCTTTTCTATTACCATTACTACTGTTATTAACTCCACTGCTCTGGGATTTGCCCTGACAAATCTATCTTGCTGTGGAGATTGGGTATAGCAACTTGAGCTGATGTATGCATGTTTCAGGTTCTAAATTGTGCCTGGTTAACTGATTGAAAGCCTTGGTGAGGAACTAATTGAAAAATAGTATTTATTCACTAAACATGTGGAGAAGATCATTTTGTTGTTTGATGGAAAGTTATAGTTATTTAGTAAAATATAAAAACTGAACTTCATCGTTCCTTCACTGATATTACTCTCTGTTTACATTCCTGTTCTCTTCATTTCGATGTTCTTAACCTTCTGTTGTTGTTACATACCACTTATGTTGATAGACATAAGTAGCATACACTGCATCAATAGTTTATTTATTTGAACACATAAACATTGATACAATGAGGCACCAAATACATATGCGCCACACTTCGTCATTCGATTTGTATGAAAGCTGGATTACTGTTCGGACGCTGAAACTGAGACAGGTGGTTTTCATAGTGAACCACTCCTCGAGCCTTTGACCTACAGGTCTAATCCACAAGACAGTGGTGGAGCAAGTTTAGGAGGTGCACTCCCATGGTCGACGGTGACCAACAATAGGTTCATATTCCATTCGTTCTCTGAGGATGCTGGAACCCACGTGCACCATTGGTTTTGAATGAGGGTTTTCTAACTCCCTTAGATGAATGTCTCGTATCCACTAACCCGGTTATAGCGTCGGACGTGCGCTTTTCGTGGCCATGTGAGAGCATTTGGAGAGGGAGAGATGACGCTGCCCACCCTCGACCGTACCATAACATAACTTTTATTTATCCACGATAGTTTTACTTAATGAATATATATTATCTATCCTTTGTATTTATATAGATATCGAGACCAAGTTATATGATTATGTGTGTGCAAGAAATAAATCTATGTGATGTATCACTGTATCGAGCAGCATGCAATAAGATAAATGACGCTATCAAAGGTCCATATTTTACTGGTAATTCTATTTATTTATTTTAATGATAAATATGTATTAGATTAAGGTTACAATAGTTAGTAATGACCAGTAATCTTCTATATCAGTTATCTACTTTAATTTACCTCCAACAATTCAATAAGTTACATTGGATGTGAGATCCTTTAAGTTTGGTCATATTTTCTAATTGTATTTTGTTGCTAGGTTACAATCTTCATCAAAAAAAAGAAAGAAAACAAACTTATCCCATATTCACTTAGCATTCTAATCAAATATTATAAGTTATAGGAGGGCTATTGAAGACTTGTTAAATTTTATAGTTTACCTTTCGTTAGACAATCACTGAAACCGTGAAACACTGGATAGCCGTTTTGACCTAGTATCAATCAGTCAGTGGTCTTGAGTGTTGTTAGAGGTATGATGGCGGTTATCAATTCCCGGTTGCTCAAACTGTGGAAGGGTTCTTCTGTAAGTACCTGAAAATGAAATCGGATTAAAGGTTTTCTTGGTGACCTGAGGGCGTGACTGCAGTGCCCAAGGGACAACTGCATGAGGTCGGTCACATACGACCTTTTTGTGAGTAATTTCCATGTTAGCTCCATTCTTGTTGAGACCTTACCTCCGGAGACGGGTATCCCTTGGATAAGACGAGGTGTGCATTTTTAGGGTCGATCTTTTCTAACCCCGCCCCTCCTTGTGAGAAGGCAGCATCATTGTTATGCTAGTTGACTTAATATAGTACTTCCCAATATGTACATGCATGAATTCGATAAGAATCGAATCCAACACCTTCAAGTCTCACAACAAGTGTTTAATCTTTCAATCTGAGATCTAATGGTGCCATCTCCTAGACTTGAAAGTCTTGTATGTTCGATACTCGGTGGAGTCTTGATGATTTTCATCTGTCCTAATGATAATAAACCCTTTTATATTGTTCAGTTCTTGTGGTTATTTCACATTACACATAAAGAAAATAAATGTCCAAGTGAATGTTTAATTGTAATGCGATCTGCTGGATCGAAGTTAAAATCTTTATGAATTTACAGTGGATTGAGTTTAATTTAGAATCATTAAAAAATTTTCAAAACAATTCGACACAATAAATTAAAGTTTTGTTCCAATCTTCAATTATATTATACTTCCAAATAGAACTGATCTTGAGATGGTGGAGAAGATTTGTAGCTCAGATAGATGATTTTGATGGAGTTTTGTAGTCTGAGTTGGATGGTTTGGTTGTGGAGCTTTCATTGTTCATTTGAACGACATCATCAGCAATAGGAGATACAACCAAAACAAAGAAGTAAACAATAACAGGTTTAAGGTCAACAAGAACCAATCAACATCGAGATCTACAGAACAAGCTGTGAACAATATGTGGAGAAATTCGAACACTTCACATCTCCCTAAAGTTTGTGCTGATGATGTCGTTCAGAAGAACCGATGAAAGGTGCACGACCAAACCATGTAGCTCAGAGAACAAAACTCCATCAAAATAGAACTGATCTTAAATGGAATATTATTGAAAACCAATTACTATTAGCCTCATAAAAGGCATAATACCTTTTAGTTATTAAGTTACAATAGGATGTGTACTCCATATGTGTTCGAAAGAGACCTGGGAAACAGTGAAACAAGGTTCTGTTTATATTACCTGATAATTTAAACTTTAAATCTGTAAAAATTACATCACTAAACGCCTACGGTTTTTTAATGCTTTGATCACTCCATCCAACAGATACTAACTTGATCTGAGCTTATGCTACAAATTTTTAGCGAATCCAATTTTATGATTCTGTTGTGAAATTATGATAAGTAGTTGGTATCCACGTTCTTAAATTAGTAGGACACTTAGTTAACAGCTTTAAACAAGTTTATTTGTTCATCAAATCATTACTCCCCTATGTTGGGATCATCAAGTGGACTAATCTGGAACCAGATGCATGATAATAAGTAAAAGTGGTTAATCTACTAAAGAGATGGTAAATCTTTATCAACTGAGATGGTTGGAATATATATTACGTATCTCCAACCATCACAACCACCACCATACTGGTGTTAGGAGTAGGTTGTGAGAAAGCTACTCATGCCCGAACCAAGACAATGTATCATTCCATGAAGTCTCTTACTATTCGACGAAGATGTGTTGGTGGGTGCAGGCTGTCTGTGCGTGGTCCACACGATTATCATAACCAATCGTTGGAGATTTTGATTGAAATGTTTCAGAATTGGTTACAATTGTGATGTAGTTGAGTTCACTCTTCGGCTTGCCTTAGATCTTGAGCTTTGAAAGTATCTTATACGCCCTATTCTACGAATTCAGGTCTATTCTGTGCAATTTATTTAATACTTTTATCGAATAGCATTTCGTTGACCTGTTTATGAGGCCAATAACTAGTTTATCAGAGGTGCTGGAGTCAATATATTTCTTTAGATATTACTGTATTATCACGCTATACGCAGATGTTATTTTCGAAAATCATCGTTCCCACACTTTTAAATCAATTTCCAGATTCTCGTCTTATTCGTTACGTGTTTGTAGTTTATACAAAAATTGGTAATCATCATTCTCTCTGTTTAGTCAAGCTGTGGGAATATTACAATTTAGATTGTGTTTCGTCATAGTATTTACATCGTAGTCTAAACTATTATTTGTACGATATAACCTAGTCAATATCCGAGGATTCTTGCCTTATCATGGAGATTTTCATTCGTCTCCCAATCGAATTGCTTTTTCTCTCAAATAGTATATATTTTTTTTCTTTTTAGGTCCTGAATTAAGTCTAGCCGATTTGATTTTGTTTCCACATTTGCATCGATTCGAAGTAGTTATGGGTCGAATAACCGGTAAAAAACCAGAAGAAATCAATGAACTAAATATAAATGATGAATTACGTAAAGAATTCCCAAAATTGACTGAATTTTTAGATACAATGCGTAAACAACCATTTGTGATTGATATTACTATCCCATATCGTATTCATGTTCAATATGCGGCTTCAGTACTTTCAGGTCATGCTAATCCAGACATAGAATAGTTTCTAATTAATTTCTTTATAATAATTCATTTTGTTTATTTAAAGACAATATTAATTTGATGATATGATTGTTAGGAAAATGATTATCATCGTATTATAGTACAATTATAAAGAATTGACTAGTTATGTTATTTATCTTTCTATAAACGATAAATTCGATGATGGTATATCGTAGGTAAGCATCATCATCATCAACTTTTGTTTCCATTATTTTATTCCTTGTAAAATGATTTTCTTTTAGATGTCATTTACTATTAATGTATGTCGTAGATTGGTAGTATAATAATACTCACAGTTACTGCATCTAATGAATAAAAATTCCTGAGTGTAACAAATAGTAAATGTTAGTTCCAATCAATAGTATGGCTCCCAAATGCCCTGGTACGGCCGAGAGTGGGGAGAGTCCACTCTCTCTTTCGAAACGCTCTTACACGGCTACGCGTATATAGCCTCTGTCAGGGAAGTCCTACTCACTGCGTTCTCGTGGTGTTACTGTTGTTTACAAAATTCAGAGGACGAAAAGCGAATATCCGGCGCTTCAACCAGGTTGGTGGACACGGAGATTCCACCTAGGAGAGTTGGAAAACCCTGACTCCAAACCAGTGGTGCACACGGGCTGTAGTATCCTGAGGCAGCGAATGGCGTATGAGCCAATCGTTGGTCACCGGCTACCATGGGACTGCTTCTCCTGACGTTGCTCCGCTGGGTTGTGGATCAGACCTATAGAAAACCATGTGCTTCGGTTTGGGCACCCGGTCAGTATCACAGCCCTCAAACAAATCAAATGAGATTTGTGTGGCGCATATGTATCTAGTACCACTATCTATGTGTTCGTATAAATACAGTAAAATAGGAGATTAAACATATTTAGGCGAGACTATAATTTACGGACAAATCAATCACGTATAAGATAACAAGTCTCAGATTTTGGCGCGAAATTCACTCATCTATTTGGTCAAATAGCGTCTTGGCATCATAGTGATGTCAGTTCGCGATGAAAATCCTAAATCTGATTTCTAACCTTAATCATCAACTGTAAATCAAAATTCTAATTCCTCACACTCGTTTATAACACTCACTTGGTCGTAGTTATTAGATAGACATCCTCAAGGTCAGTTTAGCGTCGCTCAGAAGTCAATAAATTACAGTCTCACCCAAATTTACAACAATTTATCTGTTTAGGATGTGTTGTAGCTACGAAAAGAATTCGTGATGCGTGTTTCGTCCTGTTTAGTACTCGTCAGCCGGATCTACTTGCATCCTAGTATTGGTTGTTTACACTGGGACTTAAAACCAATGCTTTTTATTTCAAATAGCCAATGCGTTATCCACTAGGCTGATGATTGCAGATAACCATTCACTTGTGAAATGATTATGATGTTTAGACCATTATGAATATTGGGCTTAAGTCATCCCGTTGTTGATATTAATGACTGAGTTTGATCAGTCTTTGTTTTCATAATACATGTATCCTGTACTGATCGGACTTGATATAACCATTGTGTCACAAGTTATTTAGAATAGGTGTATGGAAATTGACAATACGTTAGCTTAAACTCCTACTGATAAATAACGTATGTCTGCTGGTATTTTTCCGGCTTATGAAACTGATCAAGTATTTCAATATAGGAGTCTGTTTAAACATTTCACGTCACCTTAGCACTTCTTATAGTGACATCGGTCAGATGAATTTAGCGACCAATATATATCATGTCGTAATAAACACTACCATTATATTCCTATGGAGATATTCCTTTAGGCCTACGTTATTAGATAAATTTTCCGAATTATTACTTATTTTCGTTCAAAACCCAACACAATCGGTAATCCAGTTAGCCGAGTTCCTTGAAATATGTTCCTTATCTACTCATCTGTTTTATTTTTAAATCTTAGGATAGTGTCAGCATATAAGTACGGAAAAAAGCTGCTTATGAAATATTACATCTTATTTCCTTGGTCAGCCCTAATGGGTTGGTGTTTGACGAAATCTCAACACGAATTCGAAAAGCTCGTTCGGCTTTCGTCAACTTACGTCACCTATGGCGAAGGCGAGATATCCATCTGTCGATTAAGGGACGAGTATACTGCGCAACAGTTCGTCCTGTTCTACTTTACAGCTGCGAAACGTAGCCATTAAGAGTAGAAGATACTCAGATGTCTTAGGAATATTGCTCGCATCTGCTGAGATCACAACGTAAGTAATAGTGAGGTTACACAGATACAGGGTATTAGAGAATGATTGTAAAGTAGTTGATAAGATTGTCAATCTTCATCGACTGAGATGGTTGGGCCACGTGTTACGCATGCCCAATCACCGATTACCATGACGCGCAATGCTGACTGGTTGGAAGAAAGTTAGGGGCGGCCAAACCAAAACCTGGCATCAGTGCTTGAAGTCACCAACTTCTAATCTGAGCCATGTTGGTAGATGCAGACTACTTGGTTAGGGTCCGTGTGACTATCGTAACCAACGGTTGGAGACTCTGTGTGACGTGGCTCAGAATCGATCACAATAGTGTAAGCGTATACACTTTCTGTCTTCCCTTAAGCTATGAGATTAAAATCGCTTCATATCTTTCTTCCTGTACTATATCCTTATATACAATCTTTCTTTTATACATTACCATCATTGAATTAACTACTTCTATGAATCAGGTGTTTATCTTGCTATGCTAATGAAGTATGGCAACTTAGACCGATGCATATATGTGCTTGGTCCTATGTTGTAATTGACTGGTTCCCTTGATCATATTCATAAAAAAATTTTGTACGATAAAATTCTCTGAATAAATTAAATCAGATCTATGGACTAAAACTTCCATTTTTACTCAATTAGATCATAGTTTTTAATTTAAGATTTAGGTTATCGGATTAGAATATCATTGAATTGGATTCGTTTAACAACCACTTTAAAACACTTATAACATAGTATCTTCTATTCACAACGCTAATATCATGCATTATTCGGTGAAGAAGAAAAGAAAAGAAAACAAAAAAAGAAATATTAGTTACAGTAGACAGTATATTTACAAATACATTGTATAGTTGATTCATAGAGAATGTAATATTCACTATGAATGTACATTAGAAACAATTTGTGATACCATTGCATCAAGTAAATTTAAAGCTTGTTCATAAATACTTTCATGTTTTGTATTCTCTGTGGTATTTATATTATTGTCATTGGATTCTGGTAATTTGATCATATCAAGAAAATTTTGAATTGAGATATGTAAAGATGATCCATTAGTTTTGTCAATTTCAGAATGTGTTTGACCAGTATAGATAGCAAATATACTAGGTTCATTAGAACCATATTTTTTAGTATAAAGCTTTGGATGAGTTACATCTATTGCAAATGTGATTACTGTGAAACGTAGAAAAGAAAAAAAAATACGATTTATTAGTAGATGCATTCTTTTTTTAAAGTAGCGTAATTTATACTTATTTTTGTGGAGATCCAAAAAGCTGATTAGGTGACCGCAAGTTCTTGCGTACAAACTCATATGGAATTTTTTGTAAGCGAATAATGGATGTATATATACATTGTTTTATTTAAGCATAAATGCTATTACAATAAGGCATCAAATATCTATGCGCCATACTTCATCATTCGATTTGTATGAAGGCTGGATTACTGTTCCGGGGCACCGAAACTGAGGCAGGTGTTTTTCCATAGGGTGGTGAAGCAACTTTAGGAGGTGCAGTCCCACGGTCGACAATGACCAACAATAGGTTTATGTTTCATTCGTTCCCTGAGGATGCTGGAACCTATGTGTACCATTGGTTTGGAATTAGGATTTTCCAATTTCCCTAGATGGATCTTCCGTACCCACCACCAATCGGGTTAAAGCATCGGACATTTGATTTTCGTCGTGTCAGTTCCCTAAACAATACCGTTGCTGCAAAAACTGGAGTAGAACCTCCCTGGTAGTGGCTGTATATGTGTGGATAGAACGATTGGAATATAATCGGATCTTCATTGCCCCTCAACAAAATACATTGGTTTGTGTATTTCGTTGACTATTCATTTATGTAACAACATGTACACAAAGCACTGAAAAGATGTACATATTGGACTATCTACTAAAAAAAAGCTGAGATCCCATAACAATTTAGTTTTATTGACAGTAATTTAGTGAATAATCTGATCCATGAGAATATGTCCTACACACAATCAACAGAATAAGTATTCCAGATAGGCAGACAAAATATGCTCATTTTCTAAAACAAATCTGATAAATTTAGTCACTTCTTTCACGATACAGATATTCACATATTTGTGATACTGACAATATATCCATTAATGAACAGAGTATATGAAACATATTTGAGTTTCTCATGTACCAGCACCAGTAATGAGTGAGCTAGTTTCCTACGGGATGGGGTCGCTAACCCCATGCCCAACCCTTCTTCTTTGTCCGGGCTTGGGACCGGCAGTAGCTCCAGGTGGAGTTCAGCACTAGTAATGAGGCAACTATAATTACTAAAAATTGGAATGACTGCGAGTATATGATCAAAAGCAAAGTATCAATACTACTTACAGCTTTATATTATGGAAATAGTGCATAGAACATGACTCGTTTCGCTTATCTGCCCCCAAATGTCCTGGTACGGCCGAGAGTGAGGAGAGTCAGCTCTCCGTCTCCAAATGCTCTCATAAGGTCGCGTGCATACAATCATTGACAGGAAATTCCTACTCACGGTATTCTCGCGGCATTACTGTTGTTTACAAAATTGAGAGGACGAAAAGCGAATGTCTGGAGCTTTAACCAGGTTGGTGGACACGGAGAGTCCACCTATGGGAGTTGGAAAACCCTCATTCCAAATCAATGGTGCATATAGGCTCCAGTATCCTGAGGGAGCGAATGGCTTATGAACCAATCGTTGGTCACTGGCTACCAGGGGACTGCTTCTCCTGACGTTGCTCGATTTCCTCGTGGATCAGACCTTGAGGTCAAAGGCTTCGGGTGTGGCTCCCTAAGAAAACCACGTGCTCCTGTTTGGGTACCCGGGCAGTACCCCAGCCCTCACACAAATGATTTATGCAGCGTATATCTATCTGGTTCCTCCTTGTACCAATGTTTATGTGTTTAAAATCTTTGTTAATATGAAATGATTAGGAATAAATAACTTACAAGCATTTTGGATTGTATGACATACTGATGCAATTGTTGCCCGTAGTGGTAAACCAGACAAAAGAAGAGCTAATGAAATTGCGTTTATGGCTGCAGCCACTGTTCTAGGATGATTAGTGCCACCAGTGACAATAAACAAACGTCCAGTAAACTAGATGACAAAAGAAATGACTAATAAACTATATAGGAATAATACAAATAACAGATAAACTTTACTCCTTCGGTAAGAAAGCACAATCTACTTTTAAAGAAAAAATGAAACAGTACATTATAGTAGAAAAAAGAATAAGTGAAAAGTCATGATATAAAATGGTTTTATGAACTGATTACTACTACTATTTTTCTATCTAAGGAGAAATATTAGTGCTGATTTACCACAGTACATGTGAAAAGGACTTATCAGTTGTGTGGTGTTCTCATCACAAGGTTTTAAACATTTATTATGAAACTCTAATACGTGTTTATATAAGAAAACTGTCCGGGAAACCAACATTTTATTTGGGCATAAATTTTTACACTTATAACTTAAACAACAAAGAATCCTTTGAATTAATTGCTACTTCGACCACGTATTTTTTGGTAAACGACCCAGTGCCTCCAGGTTTTCAATAATGGTCTAACATTGATAGGTTTATGATCTCAATTGAAACTCGAAAATCTCTACAAACCTATACTGAAAACAATTCTTCCTCCCAATACATCTAGAAACTTAACTAATCATCATCCTGTATCTATTTTCTTGTTATATATAATTTTGATCCTTTTCAACCGTGTATCTGGGTAGCTGCATAAGTGCTGGTGAGGGTGTGAGTGATGAGATCAATGCACGAATAGTGAAAGCCAGAGCGGCTTATGCCAATCTGGGCCACCTTTGGCGCCTTCGTGATGTTAGTCTGGCTGTAAAAGGCCGGATCTACAACGCGTCGGTGAGAGCAGTTTTGCTCTATGCTTGTGAAACCTGGCCTCTCCGAGTTGAGGACGTTAGACGACTCTCTGTGTTCGATCATCGCTGTCTCCGAAGGATTGCTGACATTCAGTGGCAACACCATGTCAGTAATGCAGAGGTTCGGCATCGTGTGTTCGGGCACAGAGATGATAATTCAATTGGTGTCACCATCTTGAAACACCGACTTCGGTGGCTTGGACATGTTCTCTGAATGTCGTCCCAGAGAATTCCACGTCGTGAATTATCTGCCGACTCTGGGACTGGTTGGAAGAAGCGGAGAGGTGGTCAGTGCATGACATGGTGTCGTGGTATGAAAGAAAGCTGCAAAGGACTGGCTTGTGTCGGTCGTTCACGACTCCCTGGTTGGGGTCCGAGAGATGGTGCTACACAGTGGCTAGAGACGTTATCAGATATGGCTCAGAATAGAAGCCAGTGGCGATCCTGATGTAACCTTCTTTTACTTTCTTCATAAAAAGTGGTTGTGTCTCCTTTACCTGAAAGATTTCTTCTGATTGTACCTTTTCGTTCCGTCGTTACTACCACACTACCTTACTCCAATCTCCTCGTCATTGTGCTCTTTTTCTTTTGCGCTCCTTAATTTTTTTTCTACTTCTCTTCGAATTCTCATTGTTTTGTGTGGCGCATATATATTGGCGCTCTCTTGTACCAATATTCATGTGTTCAAATAAATAAATAAATAATAAATTCACTTACAATAATTTTTCCAGTATTATTTTGACAAGTCCTACTTTAGTTATATCTGAGACAAGCAAATTATTACTTTATCATGAAACGTTAGTTAATCCACGAAATCAATGTTGGGGTGCACGCTGAATATAAAATACCAACTTCAACTTAGTCACTAAACGAATGACAAAAGTTTTGGGATTTTTATACGATTGTATCAATAGACTGTGAATAGAAATCTCATGACAAAGTGTTATTTCAAAATGGAGTTACATTTTATTTTCAAAAGTGAAAATACTAGGATGAAAAATAACTATATTATAACAATTTAACCTAAAATATGTAATAATGACAAAGGTAAACAAACTTGAAGTTACACTTTGTAAAGTGGTGACTTCAATGGATAACGTTTATTACAAATGTCTCTTAAGATGTATAAAGGATACCAACCTAATTTCCCCAACATTATAAAGGTCATATATATGATGACATGATCTCATTATGATCATTAAAATTATTTTAGCAAAGCAGTACTGTAAACTTCGAGAGTTTCGTACTATGCAGTACAAGATCTCAATTAAACGGGATATTTTCAACTCAGAAACTGTAACACTCATAGCGCTAACCTTAGATCGTGGGAACTCCTTCACATCAATCAGACGTTCCAAAAGATTGTTAAGGTAAACTTCAAGCTCTGATTCCTTTGATGTTCGTTGTCCAGTACGAGGTGTAACTGTGACGTCAACATATGCACGATGAGTAAGTTCGTCATGGATCTTAGCTTCATCTGGGCCGTATATGGAAAAAACTACATGATGTCCAGCAAAATCCCATGTCGCTGATCCTACAGCATTACAATCAGTATTCGTCTCAATAAACAAGCTTGTCGAATCCACCATCTTTACGTTCTATCCTGTGGATAACAAGCAACACAGATACATTTAGGGATTACTATTAGGGAAGTCGTACATACTGTTAATCCTTAAATAATGAAAACCAGTAAAGGAATGTGTGGAGATGTAGCTTAACGGACAGGACCTTTCGACTATTAAATTTCCCGTTAGCCACAAACTATATATTTAGTCTCAGGCAGCTAAGGATCACTAAGGGTAAAATGGAAAGTTAAGGTAGATACTTCTTAAGCTCGACATCAACGACCATGAATTATAAGCCGCAAATATCACTTATTTGATCCTGTGCTTTTATCACAATAAATTCTAAATGTTTGGGGTAACGACATTGATCATATTATCGTCTACTATGAATTCACAGAACGGATAAATAGTGTCACTTAAACTATGAGAAAGTACATTATTAGGAAACATTACGGGAAATTTACTGTCTGAATACACAATCGTATACCACACGCTATTTCAAGAACCCCAAACTTTGAGGCAGTCTCATCAGATATTTTAAGTCACAATTGTGAAAAAAAAATCAGGAGTCAATTCAGATCTGAGTTTTCCAGAGATTTACAATATACCGAGAACATGATAATGATGCTGTCCTGGAACGACTCTGAATACAAGAATGAAAAACACGTACGACAAATTTCTTTACGTATGTGGTGGTTTAAATTCCAAGAGTTGATCATATATTCAAGAAGGCAAAGATTATCACGAATTAATTCGTAATTACAAAACCATGTGGATCGGTGATACAGGCTACGCGGTCTTAGTCGGTCTCACGAAACCCAGTAACTTAAGCCTCTGTATGAAATCAGAGTGACAAAATTTCTAGCAGATTGTTGCTCAGTTAAGAGATGTCACAAAATAAATAAAAGCCACACTCTGGTTAAAATTACCTCTTCTCGCCGGCACAACCTTGAAAACGCCACTGTTGATGGCGGGCATTCTGTATTTGAATAACACGATTCAAATGGTTCAAATGGTTGTGGACGGAATAGAAGAAGCTTTCGCTTAACAGGCTTCCGTGTCTAGTAGCAGGGGATCACCAAATCCTCCAGGCAGGAACCTAGGTATGTTAACAATAAAAAGGAAAAGAAATTGGTAAATCATAATGTGATGCTGTCCTTGGTCCTTAAGAATAGGTCAAGTTGCCTCTTGAAGGACTCCTGAGAAGTCGCTTGGACTAGCTCGGCCGGCAGCGAATTCCAGCTTTTGACAACTCTTAAGGAGTAGAAGTTGTGTCTACATTCCGTCTTGCTATGTTGTGTTTCCAGTTTCTGGGTGTTACCCCTTAGGTTATTATTCGAACTAAGCTTAAGTAGGTGTTTAAGAGGATGTCCAGAAGTGTTAAGAATACTGTAAGCCATTAGTAAATCACCTCTAAGACGCCTATATTCTAGTGGGTAAAGGTCTAGTGAACGGAGGCGTTCTTCGTAAGGCTTAGATTTGAGTCCTCGAACTGATTTCGTGGCTCGCCGTTGGATACGCTCCAAAGTGACCTTGTCCTTCTGGAGTGAGGGAGGGAGTACTATGTTTCCGTACTCTAAATGGGGACGGATGAAACTATTGAAGATTGTGTGGAAAGTTCGTCCGTCAAACTGTCCAAAAATGCGCTTCAACGTTACCAGTGCAAGGTTTGCTCGGAAGGCATTTTTGTCACAGTTAGCGTAAGACTTTAAGTCATGGGGCACCAGGACTCCTAAATCTTTTTCGACTTGGGATACTACTAGAGAGGAGTTTCCTAAGTTGTAACTGTAGTTTGCGACATGTCGCAGATGGACTACTTTACACTTTGAAGTGTTAAAGGTAAGTCCGTTATCGTCTGCCCAACTTTGAAGTCGCGTCAGATCATCCTGAAGTGCCTGTGTATCGTCTTGGTTGCGTATCTCTCTCCAAAGTTTCACGTCGTCGGCAAAAAGTAATAAATCTGACGTTACCTGTTGAGGAAGATCATTTATGTAGATCAAGAAGAGAAGAGGCCCTAGTACTGAGCCCTGGGGGACCCCACTAGGACATTCCATAGCCTGAGATAAAGTGAAATTAACCCTAACCTTAAAGTGTCGATTTTTTAGGTATGAAGTAAGCCAATCGATTAGAGGTGGTTTGATACCTAGTCGTTTGAGCTTGTTGATAAGACATAAGTGGTTAACCTTATCAAAAGCTTTTGAGAAATCAAGGTAAATGACGTCAACCTTTCCCTTGCAATCGAGGATGCTTGTCCATTTGTCCACCGCAGTCAGCAGGTTGGTTATACAGGAGTAACCCTTCCTGAAACCATGCTGTTGGGGTGAGAAGAAATTTAAGGACAGTAGATAGTCATTTAAACCGTCGCATATCAGGGACTCCATGAGTTTTGAAGGTAATGACAGAAGAGCCACCGGCCGATAACTTGAAGGTTCATTGCGTCGACCACCTTTGAAAATTGGTGTGATGTGAGCCAACTTCCAGTTTTCCGGTAATTTGCCTCGGCTAAGCGAGTGTGAAAACATCACGCTAAGCGGCGTTGCCAGGATTGAGGCTGCCTCCCTCAGTATGGCAGGATGAACCATATCCGGGCCAGGAGAAGTGTCAAGTCTTAAGTGCTGCAATTTCCGGAACACCAAGTCAGCGCTTAGGTCCACTTCAGAAAGTCCTGTGGAGTTGGAGATGAAACTGTCGTCAATAAAGTTGATGTCAGCCGGTTGAAATGTTTGAGAGTAATGGGCCGCCAGAAGGTTAGCGGCGTCGCCATCGTTGTTGGTCGGGCCGTTAAGACCTAGCAGTTGAGAAACTCCTGTTTTGGCTTGACGAAGAGAGGCTGCATAACGGAATAGGCTTCTAGGGTTAGAGGCGAATTTGTCCATAAGCTTTGTTTGGTACTGAAGCCTGTCTTCTCTTATAGCCATGAGTTTGTAGACTGCCTTGCATTTTTAGTGTGCATGCATTTCAAAGAAACGCTGTTTGTAGAGATCACTTTATTTATCACATTTAGTTGTTCGTTTTTCAACCAGATATAATTTCCGGATTGTGCATTGGTGTATTCTCACTATGCATTTAGCGTAAATATAGGCGAAATATCGAGACGTTTTCACTCTATGAGGTCATTTATAGAAATCTTCTCGCTATTTCCTTCTGGCATGCGAAAAGGTATGCATTATATCGCGTTTCTCTTTTATTTTGCTTGGGTGTTTGTTACAGGCAATAGATCGGCTAGTTCGAATAAAGCTCCCGTTAGTATATCTGTTTTTCCTCGAAGACGGTTGTTAGTTCAACGCTTCTACAATTCTAAAGAGTCCAAACATGATTATGACGAATTTTAATGAGTGAGTGGGGCATAATTGTCCTAAGTGGAGATAATGCGTACTTGATACGCTCACTTGAGGAGTAAAGTAAACCATGTTGAATGGTAGAGGCATTTCTTCTTTGGTTCTAAGTGTACATTTGACGTTATATTTAGCCAACAAATTCAAAGTAACTTGGTTGTTAATAAATGCCTTGGTTTGCTCTGCGAAATGGTGCGTATGAAATAAGGTTTTCAAGATGATTCATAATTACCCGTGTTTTACAGGACTTACAGTATGTGATTTGTTAAACAGAATAGAACTTAGCTCCTACATCGCAGTAAACATTCACATTGTATAGGGTAGTCGAATATATTAGACAACCGTCAGTGGTGTAAGCACTATGAAGTCTAAAATCACTGGGAAAAAAGTGTGTATTTAGAATTTTGTAACTTCGTTTCTTCAAGATTGCGCAAATGCTTAGAAAAAACCTAATCAGTAAATAATGAGTTACATCATTGCTATATTTCAGTTTGTCTTTAATTAAGGGTTATCGTTTTTATAAACTCACTCCTTGTTTTTGGTTAAACATCAAATTTTTGTGGATAAAATAGGAGAAGCTTTTACGCAGCAGGCTTTGGCTTCCAGTAACACTGCATCATCGACACCTTTAAAGAAGGACTTATATATGTGAAACAAGCAATAAAGAGGGATTGAAAAATCAACAATATAAATTGACCTGAGTTCTTAATAATATAGCAGCTCTCTTTTTGACAGACTTAATAGACATTGGTTGGACCAACTCCATTGGTAGCAAATAACAAGGCTTGGGTACACTGAAGGTGTACAATGTGTCTTCACTCCTGATTGCTATGTTGAACCTCTAACTTATGGGTATCGTCCTTAATCTTTTATGTCTGGATTCAAATTGGGCAAGTATTTTAGAGAAAAACCTGGGATTATCATTAGAAACTCATTCAGAGATTATCATTGAGTCACCTAAAATGCAATGGATGAAGATACAGTGATTCGATGCATTGTTCGCAAAACTCAAATCTGAGTACTCAAATTGATTTTATGGCTTGCCTTTGGAAAAGTTCTGAACGAAACAAATCCCTTATAAATTCATCGGAAGTTTCCTTATTTACTTGATGAACTGCCCTAATCGTTCAGTTGTTCCCCACCTCTTCACTTCACGTTATTTTAAAAACAAGCAGTGTTTTAAGCAGTCTAACTACCGTTAGGTAGTCTTTTTACAATCCACTAATAATTAAAAATAGCAACTTGACAGTTAGATGCATGCATCAGAAAATCAGACTTGATTTCTGTCTGATGAGGGTACTGCGACCAGAATTTCCCGTGACTGTGATGCTTGTTTCTAGGTTAAGAGTGAACCCACTCACTAAACAATATAAAAAAACACATTATTGAGATAACAAATAAAATTGGGATTCACGCACAAAGAGCTCTAATACGGCTGGGACACTGTCTTAAATGCTGTCGACTGTATTAAATGTTTTCAGAAAGGTGCAGTGAAGGAGCACCTTAACCCTTTCATGAAGTACAGAATGGCTCTAGGAAATGTAGTGCTTATGTTACAAACGCCCCTTTAAGCTGAGACAGGCGAACAGATTGCTGTGATCGAAAATTACCCATCTTACTCCCGGTAATTTGCCATACCGTAGCCCATCACACTAGAGAAAGTTGAAAGAATAAAGTTCTCAGATCCCTTGGTAATGTACCACATGTAAAACCAAGCATTCATACCCAAAAATATTGAAATGTGACCATAGTCCGGAAGGCCCATATTTTTAGGTTTACAAACAGTATATTGAATTCGATGTTCTTCCTCATTCTCATCAACGGTCTCCCAGGAAATCATGGTTTCTGAGCTCGCATCTTCGCGAACAATATTAAACTGTTAAGAACCATAAGATGTGAATGAGGTTCACCAGAGCTCTTAAAAGACTTAGTATAAGCTCAAAAGAACAATTCGACAGTCAGTCCCTAGAATTATCGAATGGTACACCAAGTTACTATAATGCGTCAGGCAAGATATTTCGCCCAAGTTTATCACCCCCTGGAATCTGATGTAAACTGAAAGCTTGGACACTAGCGACGATCTTCGAGGAAATGCAGCCGAGGACTATATCATTTGCCACCTTGTTTGGGGGCATTTAAGCATGCGGACTCTTGAATTCTTGTTTAAACTATTCGAAACGTATTTATCCCTCCGTACAGAAAAAAAACATGAGGTATAAAACCCAATCAAATATAATCGCAGGCATTACCTCCACTACACGGAATTTGTTTGGCACAGCTCCAGCAAAACACGTGATTATAAGAGCCACAAGCCGAGCTCATATTGTAGTGAACAGGAACACGCGTGTGGACAGTCGGATGTATTTAACACAAAATTACAGGACTTGTTAATAAACTCTAACAATCATATAGTAAATACTTAATCTGCCAAATGTCCATCAATTGTCTCAAAATCCCTCAGACCTTATTGTTCTTGCATTTTCATACAAATTGCATTCTGTTTCCATTCTTTACTGTTCGATCCTCTTGTCTCTCTGCTCTCAGGCTTTCTGTTCACGACTAAAGTCATATACTATTTATGTCAATATAAGTAGCACACACCACAATGCAACAACGAAATTGCCGTCCGTTACTGATACCCCATTATCTGACAACAGTACATGGCAATGGGTGGGCGTTGATAAGGGAATTGGCAAAAGTATGGCTCGCAAAGCCCCGTAATTGGGGGACAAAGACGTTAGACAAAACTCCCTGGTTCGATTTCCTAATGTCTGAATGTAGTTTGTTAGGAAGTAGGGTAATCTTCGATACTAAACCGGGGGACAAATTCCGTGGTAAGATCATCAATTCAGTCAATTTATGCTGTCTGTATAAGGAACAAAACGTAAGGAAAGATAACCCTTTCATTTAGGATACCTTTTGTTTTAGCACAAGTTATAGAAGAAATTTTAATATCTCTGATTCCTCTAAAATTCAAGTTGGACACGAAAATCCTTGAGTCATAAGGAACTGTTTTGGAAGACCAATGAACACACAGGAACAAACAGACACAATGGTCCACGGAGTTCCTGTGCTATTGTGCGGTATTTGGGGTGAACATCACAAACAAGATGTACAACAGATGCATTGGCTACCATGTAGCATAGACCCTTGCACTACTGCGATGATTAGCATGTTCAGGCTACTCCATCCGTTCCTTACGGCCATTAAATATCCGCGTTTGATAACTGTTAACTTCAGAAAGTGAGGGGATGTAAATAACGCCCTTCAGGTTTGGTACCGAAACGACAACAAGAGTACACAAAGAAAGGGCATTGTACGAACACTTTTTGACCGTGCTCAAAAAATCTGTTCAAAAGAATACCTTGATGATGAAATTAATCTGGTTACTAATGTTCTACGTGATAATGAATACCCATTGAAATTTATCCAGAAGTATGCAAAAAGCAATCCTCATGCAAAATACGATGGAGTAGAAGGGAAAACCTGCTTCTTACACTTACGTTTCAAAGGTGATGAAATTGCTGGAATAATTAATCACAGAATGAACCCTACGTTGAAAGTGACCTACCCAGCAGCAAAACTTATGACAGTATGGCAAACGAACTGCTCACTTCAACAAACCAAAATCGACAAGCCCTCTTTTTTTAGTAGCTCCAACTGCATCTACCAGTTTACATGTACGTGCCAAAGCACATACATTGGAAGAACTGAGAGAAGAGCGCATGTCCGCATTTCTGAGCATGTTCCAAGAAACTTGAGGCTGCGAGGGACTAAGGCTTTCAACAGCGCAATAGCTCGACATCTACTTGACACCGGGCACACCATCGACATTCAGTATGCTTTCAAAATTATCAATAGACAAAGTGCGACCACCCCCCGTTTCGCTGAAGCCATTATGACCAAAAAACTTAAACCTGACTTATGCATTCAAAAAGAGACTAATTAATTTATCACGACCATGGTAACCCTTTTTTATTTTTTTAAATTTTATTTTTTTATTTATTCTAAAATATTTATACTCCTCCCCTATTACATAACTCTTAAACCACATTATTATTCACACATTTCCATCACCTGATCCCCTTAAATTATCTTAACTTTTCAAATTCTATCTAATTATTATTACGTAACCTATCTTATGATTATTCAATTCCATTATTACACCACCCAACCCGAATTAATTCCTTTTGACATCTGACCTGTTCTAGCATATATAGACATATATATTATTGTAACCCAGTTATTTACACTCATCTATGTCAATTGTTCTCACTCTATCTCAATGTAAAAATTCTATCACATTTTTGGTTTGTAAGCAGCTGACGAGAAACCTCGAAATAATATGAATTCATACTATTCCGCACCAATATTTGTTCTTGCTTTATTTACAAAGAACTCAATCGAATTTTGTAAGCTCATGGCAAAGATATTGAACATTTAAATAACTTTTGGATTCACTATTATTAGCACAAATGAGTGACTAGAATATCCGATTGGACAACTCGAAATATCTAGATGTGCAAAAATGCCACAAGTTCTTGGAGCTTGACAGCACCTCAACCAGTGACACCTATAATTGTAACGTGTCGACTCAGTTGAATCGGAATTCAGAAGCAAAGAGGTTCGAAGATGTATTTGAAAGGCTATCGATGTATCAAGAATTGACTTATCTAAGCTGTTTAGCGGTTTACTGGAGAAGTAGCGAACAGTGTGCCCACTCGTGATCTGGTGTGGATAGTTGACCGAGCGCTTTCAGCCAGGTGAATCCATTAAAACTAATGCAGTCAGCACCAAATGTCGATGACTTAGTGATTTTAGGGATTTAATTACCGCTATCATTTTATTAGTATCGGTTAATGTCTGGAATAGGGGTACGGCGGTCACTAGAGTATTATGCAAACCGAAATACAAGCTTGCGGCTGTAAACTGAAAAACTGACAGAAAAAGGAGTTTACGACTCTGTAAACACACATAGTGCGCTTGAAATCAGTCGATAACTAACAGCAAGAAAGTGCGAATAAGCTATTCCTGTTATTATAAGTTGAAGTGTGAAAATGTAATTTTCAGTCTGTAATGTCAGCGTGATGGCAATGAGAGAGCTGAGAAAAGTCATTCGGTGTACATTAACTTGACACTGACACATTGTTTAGTGAATACATTGAGTGTCAAATAACCTTGAGAACCATCGTGAGAACTTATAGGACTTTGGTTTTTGGAGGGGTTTGCAAATAGGTTGGTCCTGTCAAGCAGAACTAGTAAAAATATACTATTGTCTTTACTTTATAGCGACCGTGGTAAATGCCATCGAAACCAAAAAAATTCGTTTTAAAACTGTGGCTTTAGCAAGGTGGCGTTGATGATATTATGAAAACGTATATGTATATGTCTCATTTCCGACTTCAGGTTTTATCTATTGATATGTTTTTAAACTCTAGTTAGTATTACGTTGTTCATAAATAGCGGGACTTAGAACTTGTTGATTTTTCTATCTTAGAACAATAATGAGTCCCTCAAACGACCTGGTATGGCCGAGAGTGGGGACCCAAGCTCCCAAAATTGTGAAGGTTTTTTGGGTTTCCTTAATAAATACAGGCGCACTTCCCCAAAGTCCAATAAGATTCCGGTTTGCTATAGCGGCTTCCTCAATACTGGGAGCTCGGGAAGATTCCACTCTGTCTCTCCAAATGCTCTCACATGGCCACGCGTATATAGCCTCTTTTAGGGAAGTCCTAATCACCCCCTTCTCGTGGCGTTACTGTTGTTAATGGAATTGGGAAGACGAAAAGCGAATGTCTGGCTCTTTAACCAGGTTGGTGGACACGGAGAGTCCATCTAGGAGAGTTGGGAAACCCTCATTCCAAACCAATGGTGCACATGGGGACCAGTATCCTGAGGGAACAAATGACGTATGAGCCAATCGTTGGTCGCCGGCTACCATGGGACTGCATCTCCTTACGATGCTTCACTGCTTTGTGGATCAGAGCTTTAGGTCAAGGTGCCGAGTGTGAATCCCCAAGAAAACCACGTGTTCCTGTTTGGGTACCCGTGCAGTATCCCAGCCTTCACACATATCAAATGAGATTAGTGTGGCGCATATGTATTTGGTGCCTCCTTGTACCAATATCTATGTGTTAAAATAAATAAAAATAAATGATAATTGTGCTCAAATATTTGGTTCTTTGTTTAAGGATTCGGAATAAACTCCAAGTGATCAGGCCAATTTTTGGCTACCATGGTAGTCGACCCTTCGGAAATTCACAGTTTACTCTTCTCTGGGGTTACTTCTTTTTTTTGATATTTGTTTGTATTTATGATAATTACATAAAATAAATCATTTCCCTTATTCAGACAACCATTTCGTGATCATTTGATTTTCACCTAGAAATGCTGTTTATGTCTAATGTTGGCTATTATGTTGTATTACATTGTATTTCAGTGTGTTCACATATCAGTGTCGTTTTTAACGCATCGCCTCATTATCATTCTTCAAAGTATTTTCAAAACATACATTAATGATGCATCTTAAAAATGGTAGGTTCTGTCGTTTTTTTTCATTGCCATTTCTCACATTTGTTGAGTAACTTTTTATTTCGACTAGTGCTGCACATTTAGTTTTATATATATATATATATATATATATATATATATTACACATGTGACTATTTTCGGTTCTTTTCACTGGTTATATTAAAGTTTAGTAGCTGTGCAACTTCATGGCACTGTATATTTTACTTCGAACCTATCTGTTAGTTTCCCATTGTCCCTTTACTGGTAATCATTCTCAGCCTGGTGATATCAATCAGGAAATTGACAAACCAACTTGTTTACCATGTGTTTTGATATGTGGATTCTGTAGACATTCATTTTTCAACCTGCAGGTGGTGTTCATGGATTGGGCTAAGCTTTTAGAGAGGTTGTTTTACAATTCTGAGAATCCCTATTGTGGTATTAAATATCTTTCCAGTGCTTCATAGTTTTCATTGGTATCCTACTAATGTTGACCTGTGAAGATGATCTTACTTAGTCCCATATAACAGGAATTCATTAATGAATTACAAATGTTCATATCATCACTAGCCACTCAAATGTAAGATAAAAATGTTTTCCCATTTTAAGGACTTATTCGAAAAGCAATCATATCATAAATGATGCTCACAGAAAAAATTCAATTAAATAATAACATCAAAAATACTTGAAAGTCTGTTTCATCCTCCATTCACCAAGAGATTTAAGTATTTTCTCACAAAAAAACAATTTTAAATAACCTAGTGATGTGGTTTTTGAATGCTATTCAATTTACATTCTGATACTAATCAACATATGCTCACTAGTGACTGGCTTCAAGAAATATACCCTGGAGTTCTAGTGAGAAGTAGTGACCAGTGGAGTTCAACCGGGTCAGTTGTGAGATAGTAACTCACTGATGACAATAGTGGATGTGTCGCTCAATTTCGTGGATTAATTGAAGTTAGACATTAACACCGTTAGATACCGGCTCAGCGGTCTAGTTGGTTAAGCGCCTAGCGCGAGCCTGATAGGTCCTGTGTTCGAATCCCGTAAGGCGGGATCGTGGATGCGCACTGCTGAGGAGTCCCACAATGGAACGAAACGGCCGTCCTCTGCTCCCATGTTTTCCATGGTGATCTAGTTTCAATTGACTCATGATCTCAACTGTTGAAATTACATTTGTATTTCTTTGATAAATATTTAGTTTTCTAACATCTACTAGTACTTTTAATCAAATATTTTATGAATCATTAAAGTTTGACAAGAAAGAATATGTTGGTTGACTATTCTCTATTATAAGGTCAAAAATCATTGTAATATTGTTTAAGGTTGACTCTATCATTACGAATGACAAATCTTATCAGTATTTTTCATGATGTAATAATTAAGAATAAAGGTAATTGACATACAGGATTTATTGTTTTTTTTTAAAAAAAAGTATTGATTTTCTTGATGATAATTATTTTAGGTGATCCAGAACCGTTTGTTGATCCAACTAGATATACGTTATTTGCCTTTCGTTTTTGTCCATTCTGTGTACGTGTTAAATTGATCTTAAGTTTCCATAAAATTGAGTAAGTTTGAAGATTTATTTTCTATTTTTACTAGTAAAAAGAATGTTTAGTTATGGAGAGATTATTTCTACTTTAACAAAAACTTTAATATAAGTTACTATGACTAGACTTCGTAGGGGGAAATCTCATATTCGAAAGATTCTACATGTAAACTTAATGATATTGGAGAGTTTAATACTTCACAAGCACATTGGGTATCAACATGTTAACGAACCTGTTGATTTCTTAATATGGTTTTTAAGACTTAAATGTAGTCATTTATGACTACATAACTACTTAATACTTGGATAGGACTTCCCTGATAGTGGTAGTATACTCGTGGCCATGTGAGATCATTTCGAAAAGATCTGATTCTCCCCACTCTCGGTCATACCAGGGTATTTGGGGGCCATAAACTTCAACAAGAAATTACCTTAAAATGCTTATTTTCATTCTCTTATATCAATAATCACCGGTGATTAGTGTTGATTTTATTATTGTCATAAAAAAATTAGTTGACTATATGCCTTCCAAGTAAATGTATAAGTATTTTGATACCGTTCAACCTTTAATTTACATTGGATCATTAAAATAAGTTTGAAATTTTAAGGCATAACTGTAAATGCCTGTATCAATGTTCTATATTAGTAGTATTAACAATTATAGTAATTAGCTTTCTAAGGTAAGTGGACACTATACTAAGTTTTGTCGATTAAACGCTATGTACTTTTCTTTGGGTGGTTCACGATATTAGTAGAGATAAATAGTTAAATAACTGACCCAAATGCGTCTCTTTATGCAGACGTCAATAGGATCTCTGTGTAGCATAAATGTGCATACAAACAGTTAAGGTATTACTAAAAAAATAAATATTTCTGGAGAATTTGATCAGGATCAGCCAAAAAAGTTTACTTGATAATCACTATTTCAAGTCTCCAAGTTTCGCATGTATCTTTGAAAAGGATGGCACGGGACTCACATCCTGAATGGGTGATTCCAAGGATATACTGAAAAATATGTAATCATTGGCATATGTAAATAAATAGGACGAAACGCACGTCCTGGATTCCACTGCTAGGCACTGTTCAACTTTGCTTATACTTACATAATCAGTTATTGTGGTTAGCATTGTATCTAAATTTCCACGTTTCATACACATCTTAATTAGTACCTTAACTTAGAAATATAAAAAAATATTTCAGAATAAAGGACGAAACAGCTTTCCAGTGCTTTCAACTCACAATTGACTGATCACTGGGTGGTGATCAATGTCATGCTTGTCTAGTCCTTATTAGTGCAGATCGAATGCTATCAATCATGTTGCAATGTGGCCACCAGTCTAGGTGACTCGACACTGCGGGCACTATGTATTGAGATTTAGATGGTGGTTGAAGGTAGTCAACAGGAAACCCTGGACCCGGGTTTCGTGCTACTTGGCACCATCTAAATCTCAATACATAGTACCCGCAGTGTCGAGTCACCTAGACTGGTGGCCACATTGCAACATGATCGATAGCATTCGATCTGCACTAATAAGAACTAGACAAGCATGACATTGATCACCACCCAGTGATCAATCAGTTGTGATTACATCTCAGTCCTACAGGAGGTTAGTCACGGCTCGGATAGCTCAGTGGTAACGTCCCTGACTGTGAAGCTGGGTGACACGAGATCGAATCCGCCAGGGAGCACCAGTTCCCTCAAGATTACAGGTACACCTTGCTGACGAGTGCCAAGTAGCACGAAACCCGGGTCCAGGGTTTCCTGTTGACTACCTCCAACCACCATCTAAGTGCTTCCTTCTTTTCAATGATAGTTCAGTAGAGATTAATCTGTGACGAATGTCACCTACAAAAAATGTGATCTATTTTTCGATCAGAGATCAATGATTAATTTGATGCTTTGACAGACACATGAAATAAGTTCTATTCTCACAATGTAGAAATGTTGCATAACTATGAAAATGGAATTTTGTGATACATGTTCTTTGACGATGTTTTGTTGTTGTTATTATTACTTTTTAATTTTTCTGGCTAGCGTTTTTTTGGCGAGTTAGTCTTCTACAGGATAGGGTCCCTAGCGCCACGCCCAACCCTCCTCCTTGGGACCGGCAGTAACTCTAGAAGAGCTACAGGCAGATTTGTTATTATTAGAACTACGGAATGATTAGCCTTCATTAGTTTCCATGTTACCTGTATAGATCCTTCAATCTTGTCCATTAAATCTTCGAACTTATAATTTGACTGCAATATGTTTTTTGTTATTTTGAGTTGAATATTATGTAATCTTGGAGATTATAATGTTGACTAAAACAATTGACTATCATTTATCTATAGTAATATTTTACATGAACACCACCTGGAGCCCCTCTGGGGCTGCTGCCAGTCCGAAGCCTGGATAAAGGGAGGAGGTTTGGGCATGGGGTTAGCAACCCAATCCCGTAGAAACTAACTCGCTAAAAAACGCTAACTAGAAAAAATATTCTGAGTGGTGGAGATTTATAGCTCAGGTGGATGATTTTAATGGAGTTTTGTTCTTTGAGCTGGACGGTTTGGTCGTGAAGATTTCATCGTTCTTCTAAACGACATCATCAACGCAAAATTCAGATAGAAATTAAGTGTTTGAATTTTTCCACATGTAGAGAAACTTTTTTATTTTTGTTATTCACTCCTATATAGTTACATATTTTCCCACTTCATTTTATCTGTTTATTATTTACTTAGCTATGATTTAATTCAAGTCTCACTTAATGATAAACCAGATTGGTTAATGAAATATTCGCCGTTGGGTAAAGTTCCACTACTTATAAATCAAGGTGATAAACTTCTTGAGTCTGATTTAATTATGCGATTTGTGGATGAATTACATGGAGAGAAAACTTCATTGATGAGTATATGTGGTGTAGAGAAATTTCAAAATGCGGCTGAATTAGCTAAAAAGGTTTGTTATTCATATATATTACTGGCTAACGTTGTTTTAGCGAATTAGCTTTCTACGGGATAGTGTCGCTAACCCCATATCCAACCCTCCTTTGTCCGGGCTTGGGACCGATAGTAGCTCCAGGGAGGCTCCAGGCGGAGTTATATACATATATATATCTTATGTTTTATTATAATAAATTGTATGGTATCTGGTAATAAACAGTTACTTACTTATTTACGTCTGTTACTCTCAATGTAGCATAGACCACCGACCAGCATTCTCTAACCCACTCTGTCCTGGGCCTTTCTTCATAGTTCTATCCAACTGTTGTTGATTCTTTTCATATCTGCCTGAATTTCTCGTCGTGCTGTGTCCTTTGGTCATCCTCTCGTCCTTTAGCCTTGAGGATTCGAAATGGAGGCTTGCCTTGTGACATAGTTGGGTGTTTTCCTCAATGTGTGTCCTATCCACTTCCAGCGCTTCTTCCTCCGCTGCGATCTGGTTTGTTCTCTCCCACAGTAGGCTGTTGCTGATAGTGTCAATAAACAGCTACAATAACGTAAAGAGATCGAACACTAATCTTCATTTGATGCAGTTAAAGTAATGATTAATTTACATTTGTAGTATCTTTGAGATTTCAATTAGGTAAGCCAGAATTTCTTCCGTTAACTCGGTTTAAAGTGAATCACTTCGTTAATTGATATCTTAATCTGACAGTGTTATGGCATTCCCTTAATTCAATATTCCGTAATTCACGATTGTAAGTTAAGGTAAACATTGATTGGATTTGTATAACACTAGTTGACATAATTATTAACTGGCATGATTCACGTTTACAACTTTATTTAGTTTATAATACAATACATTTATTAATTGGTATTTTACGATGATTCCCTTACTCTCGGTTGTATTGATACAGTGATCGCTTCTTTCCTAAATTGCTACAATCTGTATTGAAGTTTTTGATTGGTGGACTCAGTAGTTTTTGTTTCTGACATCAACCAGTGATATTAAACTATGGAGTATTTAATGATCAACTTTTGATTTACTTGATATTCTGGTAGCTTTTACAAAATCACTTGAGTATTTTTATTATCTTCTAGTATTATCATAGAACAGACTCATATCCAGTTCAATTTCATTGTTACCAGGGGGGCGCCAAATACATATACGTCACGCAGTAACAATGAGGTTGTGAAGAGGAAGAGAATATAGGGTGAATACAATAAAAAAAGCCAACAATGAAGAGGAATTTGTGTATGAGAGTGAAATAATAATAATAATAATGGATGAAACAGTTAAGTTAGCAAAAATATAACCAGAAAGAATTCTTTCAATTAAAGAAGTTATATTCATTTTTATGAAAAAAGTAAAAGAAACTTTGGGGTTGGATACCTTTTTAATCATACAGGAAGCGACAGTTCTTCCAAGATTGCAGGCGTTTTTTGCTGACAAGTGGAAGATTGCACTAAATCTAAGTTCAGGGTTTCTTGTCAAAAACCTTTGACCACTTATCAGTATATAACATCAGTTACTTAATTATCTTCGTGTTAGCATTGTTTCTCAATCAAACTGTATTAAATTCATGATTTAAGCTTTTTATCTTGGCAATAATGGCTCGTTTTTTCCTGTTAAACTATTTCAGTTTTTCAGTCCTGGATATTCTATATTATATGGAGTGACCTTTAGTGAATTGGATGTAGTGAAATTCCGTGAAGCTTGTTCTGAATTGGATAATTCAATCAATAGTAAATATTTTGCCGGTTAGTTGGTGGAGTGGTTCCCTTTTTTTCTTATTTACTCCTGTTTTCTTTTTATTCTCGATATAATATTCACATTAGACAGTATCATCCAGGGATTTAAAGGCAAAATTATCTCTCATCTTGGTATGTAACTTCTCATTAGTGTCCATTCACGACCCCACCATCAGGGATCGAATTGTGCTGGATGTGAGAAAGGTATCGACCGAAGACAATAAAAGATGGTTACACAATGTTTTGGGTTTCTTGAAGTTAGACTTGTACACAATTTGTATCTAAGGTCAGTGGTTTAGAGGTTAAGTGTTCTTATGCGAGACTGAAAGGTTCTTTCGCCAGTGGGGTTGTGAATACTCACTAGTGGGGACAAGACTGATGTTCCTTGCTTTCACGTTTTCAATGGTTTTATAGCTTGGACCAGTTCATGATCCAAATAACATTTAACAATCTTCACAACCCGATAATGAATAATATCTTCTTTACTTATGGTTAAATAATGTGGGAATAAGTAAGTCTTAGAAAGACGATTATACAATACGAGTTTTAGTAGATTTAATGCCAAGAATTACTATTCAGTGGATTTTTGCAACCAATCAATGAGATAGTAAGTCAGTATACAGTAATGATTTATACCAGGAAACATTAATCGGGGGAATGTAAAATCCCCAAATACTATCTAATGCGAAAAACTCATTTGTAATGTCAGACAATATTGATTTAAGGCGATTATCGTTCAATTTGCTATTAGTGCACTTTTATTTGTATTAATTAACTCAATGTTAATTTTTCCATTCATTTTTTCAATAATCTTTAAGTGCAATCGATTTACAATTGAATGATTTCGAATATGAAGTAATCATTTTTGATATTTTCCAGTCTTTTTAAGAGGTAATGGAATTCGCGAAAGAAATACTCTGTGTTGAAGTGTTGCGAAGAGTTATCGTTGATATCACCGTTCATATATCAAATGTAGTGCAAACTTTGTATAGGTGGAATCGCCGAGTGGTCTAAGGCGATGGTTTAAAGCACCAGTCCTAAAGAGTGTGCGTTAGAATCCCACTTCCATCACAAGCTTCACCCCCAAATGCTTTAATACGGCCGAGGTTGGGGAGAATCAGCTCTTCCTCTTTTCAAGTGCCCTCACATGGCCACGCGTATACAGCCATTGTCAGCGAAGTCCTACTCACTGCCTTCTCACAACGGGCGTGTTGTTTACAAAATTGAGAGGACGAAAAGCAAATGTCCGGTGCTTTAACTGGGTTGGTGATGAAGGTGGATCCACCTAGCGGGGTTGGAAAACCCTGATCCTAAACCAGTGGTGCACACGAGCCCCAGGATTCCAGGGGGAAAATGGCGTATGAGGCAGTTGTTGATCACTGGCCACCATGGACTGCATCTCCTTACGTTGCTCCACTGCCTTGTGGATTAGATCATTAGGCCAAAGGCCTTGGGTGTAGCACCCTAAGAAAACCACCTGCTTCGGTCTGGGCACCCGGGCAGTATTCTAGCCCTCACACAAATTATTTGATTTGTGTGAGGTATATCTATTTGGTGCCTCCTGGTACTAATGTTTATGTTCAACCGGGTCAGTTGTGAGATAGTAACTCACTGATGACAATGGTGAATGTGTCGCTCAATTTCGTGGATTAATTGAAGTTAGGCATTAACACCGTTGGATACCGGCTCAGTGATCTAGTGGTTAAGCACCTGGCGCGAGACTGATAAGTCCTGTGTTCGAATCCCGCGAGACGGGATCGTGGATGCGCATTGTTGAGGAGTCCCTTAATAGGACGAAACTGCCGTCCTCTGCTTCCATGTTTTCCATGGTGATCTAGTTTCAATTGACTCATGATCTCAACTGTTGAAATTACTGCAATCTCCACAAAGCCCCGTCTGATAATAATGTTTATGTGTTTAAATAATGAATAACATTAGTGCAAAATTTGTAACCTATGTAACCAACTTTGTCAACAATGACGAAAGATGCCTATGACATTGAATGTGATAGTTATACTATGTCACATATTAACTGGAGTTGTATACTGCAAGGGTTCATTTCCTATTTAGTGGTTAGACAGTATATTAACTATTATATCCCTCTAGTTCGTTTCCATGCATGCTTTGGAAGAAATAAAGCCTGTTCAGCAATTCCCCGATTCTCTTACTGATATTGATTTGTCATGAAAGTTTTCTACTAATTAAGATAGGTGTTCACTAATGTCTAATGGAATGCAAAACATTGTTTTATTGACTTAAACAATGAGTTGCTAATTTTTAGTGTTACCAGTTTAAACTTCATTTCATCAAATTCAATTTAAGAAACAATGTTGTAGTATCTCTAACCGGCAAACATAAAATGTTTACCTGAAAGAGTAAACATGAACTTGGTAACTGGAGGTATTTTTTTTGTTTGAAAATTCAGTAGTATTTACTAAATTCTGAATTATACTCATAAAAATTTACTTGTTATAGGCCATTTGTATTCTTTATTGTCATAAAATATCACATTTTTGTTTAGGTGAAACAGTTTATTAGATCAATGACTCTTTAATTTGAGTTTGTTTAACGTTATAAGGAGTGCCATTAAACAATTAATAAGTAGACAAGAATAGTTTAGTAGAAATATCAGTTCAATTAACAGATGCAACAAAGAGAATTCTTTCAGTTAGTCATTTCATGGAGTTTCTCAAACTTTTACAAACAATGCAAATGAAACTTACAATATAGCATTATTTATCAATTTCACTCTGAACTATGTTTGATAATGTTCTTAAGGCAGTAAGTTACAGAATCTTTAAGACTTCAACAAGAGTATCGTGATGAACCGACAGATGCCAATCATACACAATTTTCTTTCATATCATAGTACTGTGTCATAAACTGACTATTCCTTCGTTTCTTCCATCGCGATATAAATGCAAGATGTGGATGCTATCGGAATGTGATTCGTAATGCTTGAATTTATTAAACTTAAACATAGTGATGTAAATTTCGGTGATCATTAAAAAAAAAAGCCTATTTCCCAGTATGTAATATGTAGATCAGTTCTAATGTTTCATAATCTTTCTTTTTTTAAAAAAAATATTTATTCATATCCAGGAGATCAATTGAGTTTGGCTGATTTGATCCTCTTCCCTATGATTGATTACTTTGAAATCATTTTGGGCATTATTCATCATATAAATTATGATCAAATTTATGAAATGAAAATAAATGATAAATTATATAATGAAGCTAAAACATGGTCAAATCTACTCAATTATTTAATTACAATGAGACAAGAATCTTTTGTATCTGATATACGAATATCGACTAATATTACAGCAAAATTTATTGCTTCTAAACGATCTGGTTTATCAAATCCTGACATTCAGTAGGTATAAAGATGGATAATATAAGTGTTTCTGTTCAAATCGTTTTTTTTTCTTCTATTGTTCTGAAGTTTTATTTTGTTTTTGCAAAAACCAAAATTGTTTCTTGTTTGTTTTAACTTTTGTCTATTTGTTTTAATTTATTCTATATAATCAATGTTAATTTGAATTAAATCTAAATTGTTACTTATTTATGCTTGTTACTCTCAATGGAGCATAGGCCGCCGACCAGTTTTCTCCAACCCACTCTGTCCTGGGTCTTTCTTCCTAGTTCTATCCAATTGTTGTTGATTCTTCTCATGTCTGTCTCCATTTCTCGTCGTAATGTGTTCTTTGGTCTTGCTCTCCTCCTTTAGCCTTGAGGATTCGAAATGGGGGTTTGCCTTGTGACATAGTTGGGTGCTTTCCTCAATGTGTGTCCTAACCACTTCCAGCGCTTCTTCCTTCGCTGGGATCTGGTTTGTTCTCTCCCACAGTAGGCTGTTGCTGATAGTGTCAATAAACAGCTACAATAACGTAAAGAGATCGAACACTAATCTTCATTTGATGCAGTTAAAGTAATGATTAATTTACATTTGTAGTATCTTTGACAGTTCAATTAGGTAACGCAGAATTTCTTCTGTTAACTCGATTTAAAGTGAATCACTTCGTTAATTGATATGTTAATCTGACAGTGTTATAGCATTCCCTTACTTCAGTATTCCGTAATTCACGATTGTAAGTTAAGGTAAACATTGATTGCATTTGTATGACACTAGTTGACATAATTATTAACTGGCATGATTCACGTTTACAACTCTATTTAGTTTATAATACAATACATTTATTATCCTCTCCTCCTTCAACCTTGAGAATTCGAAATGTGTCCTTGTCTTGTGACACAGTTGGGTGCTTTCCTTAATGTGTGTCCTATTCACTTCCAGCGCTTCTTTCTAATTTCTTTTTCCGCATGGAGCCCCTCTCGTTGTGCTACTGTCAGTCTCAAGCCCATGGAAAGGAGGGGGTTGGGCATGGGGTTAGCGACCCAATCCTGTAGAGAGCTAACTCACTAAAAAAACGCTAATAAAAAAAATAATTCAAACCATTTAAATTCTGCCCTAGGACTTAGATGATTTTCATTTAGAGTAGTTATGACATCTCATAATGGTAGCCGAATTCCTTTGGAAGTCACAAAGCAAATGCTCCTTCTGACGACCAGCGTTTTTAGCGAGTTAGTTTTCTACGGTATAGGATCGCTAACCCCATACCCAACCCTCTTCCTTTATCCGGGTTTTGAACTGACAGTAGCTCCCGGAGAGACCCTAGGCGGAGTTTTCTGACAACTAGAGCAATCATTATTAATTTAACTATCAGGAAATGTTTGTACAAATTTAAATTGTTACATTTATATAAATTTTAGATATGAATTATTTCTAATAATTCATTTGGTTATTCTGTATATGAGCACTACCTCTTTCTTAATTTGATGCTAAATAGATGAACTCATTTTACATTAGATACAACTCTATAAAACATACTGTCTGTCACGAAGGCAGGCAATGAATACACCAATCAGAAATGAGTAATATGCGATATTTTGATTGGTTATCAATGAACATAATTAAGTAAATATGGAAGAAGTTTTGATCTGGATTTTTTGAGTACTGGTTATGTTGTTATTGATCAAAATATTGCTGACCAATTTTTTTTTGTTTTGATTTTATCTTTTCATGATGTACACTATATGACCCTATGTTTCCGCTCACTAGGTGCATACTATACATTGTTGAATTAGTCTTATAGAGTTGGAATTTATTGTCATTAACTATGAATACCTGTGTTTATTCTCTACTGTCATCTCTAGATTTTTTCTTAACTCTTCTGTTTTATGCATTTTTATCAGTTCCAAAAATGTTACTTAAAATATCACTTTGGAAACATTGACAGTTGTTGATATGAAATGATAAGTACTTATATTGACTTATTCACCTCGAAGAACAAAGTTTTTGATGTAAGATTTTCACTGTAATTGTGACAGTTGTGATTATCTTATTTGGTCATTTGATCTTAGCGAGAAATAGTAAAGAAAGTTGAGTTTAAATAAGCAGCTTTTGATTTATCTCATGTTTCAATGTGATTATTGGTAACTGTATCGATCAAGGACCTTTTGTTTTGATCAATACTTCTTCAGTGAAGTGAGCCACAAAGATTATCAGTGTTTTTTTAAAAAAATTATTTGATTACTATCCTGGGTTCGGATCTCACGGGGCAAGAACGTGGATGCACATTGCTGAAGAGTCCCGCACCAGGACGAGACGGCCGCCCAGTGCTTCCATGTTTTCTATGATGGTCTAACTTCAATTGACTCGTGAATTCAGTTTCTCAATTATTTGATTACTATCCAAAGTTATCATTGTTAAGGTTGAAAGTGTTGTGACCATAGTTTAACTTGTTAATTTCGGATTAATTGACCATTTGTTATAATGTTAACTTTGACTGAGTAGAAGAATACATTATAGATGTTTGGTAGTCCAGTATAAGCTACTTCTTCAGAGGACAAAGATAAAATGTATTATTTCTGTTGTTCTACCAGACTGCTCATAATTCATAAGGTTTGCGTTATAATTAATATATTTTGCCTGAATAATTTTATTATTACTTACTTACTTACGCCTGTTACTCCTCGTGAAGGAGCATAGGCCGCTCACCAGCATTCTCCATCCAACCCTGTCCTGGGCAATCCTTTACAACTCTTTCCAGTTCCTTTTCATATCTGCTTATATTTCCCGACGTAATGTGTTCTTTGGCCTTCCTCTTTTCCGCTTCCCTTCAGGATTCCAAGTTAGGGCTTGCCTCGTGATGCAGTTTGACGATTTGCGTAATGTATGTCCTATCCATTTCCATCGTCTTTTCCTAATTTCTTCTTCAGCTGGAAGTTGGTTTGTTCTCTCCCACAGAAGGCTATTGCTGATGGTATCCGGCCAATGGATGTTGAGTATCTTGCGTAGACAGCTATTTATAAATACTTGTACCTTCTTGATTGTGGTTGTTGTAGTTCTCCAAGTTTCAGCTCCATACAGTAGAACTGCCTTGACGTTCGTATTGAAGATTCTCACTTTGATATTGGTTGAAAGTTGTTTTGAGTTCCATATGTTCTTCAATTGTAGGAATGCGGCCCTTGCTTTGCCAATCCTCGCCTTTACGTCTGCATCTGAACCTCCTTGTTAATCGATGATGCTTCCCAGGTATGTGAAGGATTCTACATCTTCCAGAGTTTCGCCATCAAGAGTGATTGGATTGCTGTTCTCCGTTTTCACTTTGAGGACCTTGGTTTTCCCTTTGTGTATGCTGAGGCCTACTGATGCAGAGACTGCTGCTACACTGGCTGTCTTCATCTGCATCTGTTCGTGTGTACGTGATAGGAGGGCTAGGTCATCTGCGAAGTCCAAATCGTCTAATTGATTCTGAGCTGTCCATTGTATGCCGTGTTTTCCCCCAGATGTCGAGGTCTTCATAATCCAGTCGACCACCAGAAGAAAGAGGAAGGGAGAGAGTAAACAGCCTTGTCTGACTCCGGTCCTTACTTGGAATGCATCTGTCAGCTGTCCTCCATGCACTACTTTGCACTGTAGTCCGTCGTATGAGTTCCGGATAATGTTGACAATCTTCTCAGGAACTCCGTAGTGTCGAAGAAGTTTCCATAATGTCCTCCTATCTACACTGTCGAATGCCTTTTCATAATCAATGAAGTTGATGTATAGTGATGAGTTCCACTCAACTGATTGTTCGACGATGATCCGTAGTGTTGCAATTTGGTCTGTGCACGACCGATCCTTACGGAATCCAGCTTGTTGATCTCGAAGTTGGGCGTCTACTGCATCCTTCATCCGGTTCAGCAACACTCTGTTGAAGACTTTCCCTGGTATTGACAGTAGTGTAATGCCTCTGTAGTTTTCACATTTGCTCAGATCTCCTTTCTTTGGAATCTTGACGAGGTGTCCTTCTTTCCAGTCCATCGGCACTTGTTCCTCCTCCCAAATCTTTTTGAATAGAAGGTAAAGCATGCTTGTGGTTGCTTCGATGTCTGATTTCAGTGCTTCAGCTGGTATGTTGTCGGGTCCTGCTGCTTTCCCGTTCTTGATTTGTCTGACGGCCATTCTAATTTCTTCCGTCGTTGGTGGGTTGACATCTATAGGAAGATCTATGTGTGCTGCTTCGATGTCCGGTGGATTCATTGGAGCCGGCCTATTCAGGAGTTCCTCGAAGTATTCTACCCATCTGTTACGCTGTTGTTGAATTTCGGTGATTGGCTTGCCTTCTTTGTCTTTGACCGGCCTCTCTGGTTTACTGTATTTCCCTGCTAGTTTCTTCGTTGTATCGTAAAGCTGTTTCATATTTCCTTCTCTAGCAGCTTTTTCTGCCGTCGTTGCTAGTTCTTCCACGTATTTCTTCTTGTCGGCTCTAATGCTCCTCTTCACTTGTTTGTTTGCTTCTATGTATTCAGCTTGTGCTTGGACTTTCTCTGCTCGTGTTCGGCTGTTGTTAATTGCTGCCTTCTTGTTCTTCCTTTCTTTGATCTTGTCCAGTGTTTCTATAGAGATCCATTCCTTATGATGGTGTTTCTTTAGGCCCAGAACCTCTTGACACGTTGAAGTTAATGCTTCCTTGATGCCTTTCCAGTTGTCCTCCATAGTAGTTTCTTCTTCTTCAGTAGATCTTGTAAGGCTTGGAACCTGTTGTTGAGAGCTATCTTGAATTCATTGAGTTTGTCAGTATCTCGAAGGAAGGCTGTATTGAACCTTTGTAGTGCTGTTTGTCCACTTGTCCAGTTCTTTTTTAGCTTCAGTTTTAAATTGGCTACAACTAGGTGGTGATCTGAAGCTACGTCAGCACCTCTCCTGGTTCTCACATCTTCCATTGTCCTTCGGAATTTTTTGTTGATGCAAATATGATCTATTTGGTTCTCTGTAGTGTGGTCCGGTGAGATCCATGTAGCCTTGTGTATACGCTTGTGTGGAAATAT